TGGAGTTTAAGGGAGCTGAAGGTGGAAGGTGCCCTGCACCCAAGACCCAAAGGACCCAGGTGTTCGGATCCCCAGTGTTCGATCAGGGTGGGGGCAGGAAACGAAACCTGGTAGAACAGAAAGTGAAACAGCCCAGGTGGGGCTGCTGGAAGGAAAGAAAGGGGCCCTACCACACCTGGATGGAGAAGGCAGAAAGTAAAACTGGGGTGAGGCCTGAGGAGGTGGGCTGAAGACTTGAGCATTGAGCAAAGAATTTCACCCAGGGGACCATCTGCCCTCCCCCCAGCCTGTTTTCCCAAGGAGCAGGTTCAGTTGGGCGTGTGAGCTGGGCCTGCTAGTTTCGGGATGGGGGGCGGGGTGGGAGAGGCAAAGGAAGCCCTATGTGTTCTTGCCCATGGGGAGAGGGTCCACGGGTGGCCAGGACCACCTGGGCCCTCACCGCCTGGGAGGTCTTTCTCTAAGCTCTTGTCTGTAAAATGGGGCAGCTGGCCCAGTTCCCGATGTTTCTCAGAAGCCTAAAAAATTCACTTCCAGGAGTCTGAGAAGATTCTGAAATTTGGAGACTTGAGGATTCCAACTTGCATACGTTATAGAATCAGACATTCTAGAGTTCAAGATAGTCTCATATGTTTTAGGATTTTCAATAACCTAGATTAGCGGTAGTCTAGTGTTTTAATGTTCTTAGGAGTCTGCTGTTCTAGGCTTCCGACAAACTAGGATTCCAATGTGGTATTTGACTATCTTAGCATTAAAGGATTCCTGCAACCCAGGAATCTAATGTTCCAACATTTTAACATTTTAGTATTTCAACAACCCAGGATTCTAATGTTTGAACACGTCACATCAGAGGATTTCTGACCCCCAGCCCCCCACCCTGATAACGCTGGTGTTTGAAGCTAAAAGTGGGATGGGGCCGGAGAGAGGCTGGCTTTAATAGGCCAGCATCAGACCCAGGGGTGGTGGGGAGGTGGGGTGCATGAACCAAGTCCCCAGAGCCTCAGAACTTTGGGAAAAGGTGCCTGCCCATCCACACACATCTCAGCCCTGCACACACGCGTCAGGCCTGGGGGAGGGCAGAGACTGGGCTCTGAGACCTCGCCTGCCCTTGATAGCAGCACAAGCACCCACACCTACGCCTGCCACCCGATCGCCACGGCTTCAATTTCTACTGTTTCCACCAAATGGGAGGTCAGGGATGGGCCTGGGCAGGGAGGTGTTCCCCCACCCCATCTGCTGTCAGCACCTGCCCCTTCCTCCTCCCTCCTTCTACACCTGATGGGCCCCTCCCTTCCTCCCTGCCGGCTGCAGAAAACAACATGCAGGGACTCGCAATCTGGAGAGGCCCCTGGGGCACCGCACCCCTGCCCAGGTCTCCCTCAAACGGGTAGTGGGGTAAGGAGGCAACTGGAGACCAAAGCCCCACCTCCATTCCTCAGTCTCCCAAAGCTTAGACTCCCTTCCTCCCGCTCCCCTACACCAGCCTCCAGGTCGCCTCTGTTAAGGCTTCCCTCCTTCAGACCCAAGCTGGATGGGGGAAAGGCTGCGCCCTTACCTTCTGGTCCACGATGGAGCAAGCCAGCTGCTTCACGTGGGCCAGCTCCGAGGCGGCGGGCAACAGCACGAATTCTCGGGTTAGCCCGATCTGGATGTGGAAGGAGACCCCGGGGCCCGGGGCCGGGACCGTAATCTGGGGCAGCAGCGGTGGCGGCGACTGCAGGTCCAAGCCGCCTGGGGGCGGAGGAGACCCCGGCCCGGGGGAGCCCGGGAGGCCAGCAGGATGGGAAGGGGCGGCAGCCATGGGGGAGGCCCGGGACGGGCCGCCCGGCGCCCACCCGGGATCCGGCTGGAGGAGCTTGGAGAAATCCGGATCACTGTATCCAAGGGTTCTCGTAAACTGGTAGTGGAAACGCGGGATCCCGGGGATCCGCGAAGAGATCTGGCAGGTTGAGGGGACTCGAGGATGGCGTGACTCTGGGAAATTAAGAGAAAAGAAATCTAATGGATCAGACGCCCGGGAATCAAGGGATCACAGACGATCAGAAAAAGAAATGGTTTGGGGGGGACCCAGCGATTGAGAGACTTCAAAAAATCAAAGAAGAAAAACTTGTAAGTCGGGGTCGCAGAGATCAGCAAAGTCCCAGGATCCAAAGGCCCCTGGAAAGAGAAAGGTCTGAAAAAGGAGAGGGGGACCCCAGAATCCAGTGGCTCTAAGAAAAGGATCCAATTAAAGGGGGCCGAGAGATTCACCAGACCTTGGTGATGAAGGGCCAGAGTCTGAATCGGGGATCGAGTGGATCCCAGAGTTCAGACGGGCCCGGGGATGGGCAGAGGGATCCCGAGGGCCGAGGTGCTAAGGAGGGAATCTCACGGATCTCGGAAGTTGGAAAAAAGTTCAGTCGGGGGCCCCGCGAGGAAGGGGGCGTTACCGGCCGCGGTGGAGGTGGGGCAAGGGAGGGTCGCCCGGCGCCGGTGGCTCTTTCTCCTTCGCCAAGTTTAACTCGGCTGCGACGGCCCAGGAGGAAGTGTCCGGAGCGACGGCTCAGTCAGCCAATCGAGGCCGGCCTCGATGACGTCACCGAGGGGGCGGAGTGTGCCAAGGGGGCGGAAGGGGAGGGCGGGCCCAGCACCTCACAGTCAGGGGCCGCGTCTCTCTTGCCCTGCTAAGGGAGCGGGGCACGGGAGCGGGGCACGAGAGATTCTGGGTGGGAAGGTAGGACCGATCCCTCCTGTCAACACTTCCGAATCGACAAAGTTAACTTTGCCCTGAGCTGGACAGGGAGGGGCGAGCCAGCCTCTTCGCCACCACAGGTCGCCGGGGCGGGTGCGGAGAAGGCGCCTGCCCCTTTAAGGAAGGAAGGGGGACGTCTCGCCTGGTCTGCATCCGGCGCCCACCGCAGGGGAAAGGGTGGGAAATGGGGTGTCAGGTCCGGTTGGCTCTCTGGGCCCTGCCTCCCCCTTCCCAGACCGCCTGTCCCTTCCGCCCCTCAGCCCCAGTGAACGGCTGTTGCAGAGTTCCCCCTAGCCCGTTAGTCCCACAGGTGGGGAGACCGAGGCCTCCAGATGGGCAGAGGTCGTGGCCTCAGGCCTGTCTCCAGCAAGCTCGGGCAGGGCGTGCACCACACCTGGGCTACCTGTGTGGGAGAGTCAGGCCGAGGGGGGCGGGTGGGGAAGCTGTCGTTTCCTTCCCTCAGCTCCCCTCTCCACCCCAGCCCTCTGGAAGGTGAAGAACCTGAGACTTGGGGTGCCTGGAAGGGCCATAACGACCAGGGAAGGGCCACACACGCACACCGTTTCACAGAGGGAGAACGAAATGTTCTGGGGAAAGCATTTGTCTTTCTTTGTGACTTTAGGTGGGTGACTTCCCCTCTCCGAGCCTGTTTCTTCATCTGTTAATAGGATTTGACCCCAAAGGGTCTTTGTGGGGACTGAGATTGTGTAATGGTGCCCGGAACACAGCAGTTCAGTAAATGGTGGCTGTCACTGTCATTGCAGGGGTACCGGGGGCGGTCCCCCCAAGCACTCAGGTAGGCATGTTCAGCCATCTAACGGGCATCAATTGACAGCCTACTGTGTGCCAGGCCTGTCATAAAACACCTCTTTCAGCCCTTTCAGAAGCAATTTGGACTTGATTTCTTCCCCCAGATAATAATAAAAGAGTGGCTACTGTATAATTTACATACAGGAAGCTAAATCCTCAGGGGCAAAATGCCTTCTCCGACATCAAGCTCGTTGCTACCACCCTACCCCAATCGTCCTGGTTTGAGCTCCAAAGGCATGCGGAGAGTTAAGGCATGCAAAGGGCCCTCCGCCTGACTGGGTTCCGGACCAGCAGGCCTGGTTGGGGATGGGGGCCATGAGATGGGCCCCCCTTCTTGGTAAAGGGCTGCTGGGGGCAGCTGAGGGAGGTGCAGTACTGATTCTGTCACCACATCCGGGGCTGGCTAGGGCTGGGGACGGAAGTCTGAGGCTGGAGTGAAAACCCAAACCACCACCTGGGGAAGCTGTTTCGAGCTCAGAGGGATGAGGGGGGAGGCCACATGGAGCCCACAGCAGGGCTCCTGTCAGTGTCACCTGATGGCCAGCTGCCCACCTGCACCCTTTTTTCTTGAAATGCTAACATGTCCCCAGTGTGCAGTTTGTAGGATTTCATCCTCAAGTGTTCAGGGGGCTATAGGCCCTATTCTGGGCATCGGAATGCAGCCCTCGACAACCCAGGGGGTGCTGGGACTTGCCCAAGGACACTTTGCTGGTAGGTAGTAGACTGAGCAAGCAGAGGGTGACAAAGGATAGGATACAAATTCTGATAACCTGCCGGAGGCCTTGAATGAGCCCCTGAACCAGCCCTTTGAGGGCCCCCGCCCCTGCCCTCTCTCTAAGGCATTCATAACGCTCCCTGCTCTTGGAGGTTGTGAGGACCCAGTGAAATGGCATGTGTTGACAGGGGTCTGGTCCCTGCGAAGTGTACAGCTGAATGCTGTGATGCGACCACCTTGAAGGGACTCATCTGGGCCCTCCCATCTCCCAGCAGGTGGAGGTGTTCTGCGCGGGCAGCTCCTAGGCTCTCCCTTCCTGCTGTCAGCCCAGGCGTGGGATGAGGAGGAAAGGGGGCGAGTCCACACATGGGGAAGGGAGGTGGGGTGAGGGCCTTGAGGAGTCTCAAGCTACAGTGACACTTATCATCTGCCTGTAGGACGCTGAGCCTGCTGCTGCTGTGGCCCCTGGGGAGAGAGCACTCAGGGACAAAAAGGAGGGGCACAGGGAGATTCGGTCCTGTGCCCCGACTTCCGTCTCTCCACCCACTCTCCACCCACGCCCCGCCCAGGCTCCGGGCCCCTTCTGTGCTGCACCCCCCCCCCCCGCCGCAGCCCTACCACAAAACCCCAACCTGTCATCATATCCCCTCTCTCCAAGCTCCGCTCACCCCAGACAGAGCCAGTTACTCCTCCCCCAAAGTCCCCAGTCCCCTCCACAGTCAGCACTGCCACCCATCTTACTCCAAAGGGTTTATTGAGGCAAGTTTCACATACGAGTCCAGGACAAGAGGGGGTAGGTCTTATAAACAGGAATCTGGAAGGGGGCCCAAGGGCTCAGGGTGGAACCCAAAAAAAGAGTGAAATAAATAGAGGGAGAGAGCGGAGGGCCAGGAGAGGAGACTGACAGACTATCACACAGTGATAACGACATGGGGGCGGGGGAGGTTCATTAAAATCCCACTTATTTATACAGATATACAGGGTGATATGGGGGACCCTGGGGACCCCACTCCACCCCCATGCCCCAGGGAGGGGGGCAAGGGCAGGCCACCTCTCCCCAAGGGTGACCCCTGCTGGGGGTGGGGCGCTGCCTTGGGGGGCGTTGAGGGAGGTAGGGGCGGGCGCCTCCCCAAAGGGCATCGCCTGTTCCGAGGCACTTTACTGGCCCCGGAGGCGCTGGGGGGTGTCTGGAGAGCTGTGTTGCAGGAACTGGAGGGGAGGGTGGTGGACTGGGTGTGCTCCCGGGGTGGCCCAGGCCCAGCACTCCCACAGAGGACAGGCTGGGGCCAGCTGGCTCCAAGGCAGCCCGGCGGACCCACAGCAGGGGTGCCTGGGTTCCTCCCAGCACAGCTCCCACCCTGGTCCGGAAGGAGGGAGGGGAGGGATGGGGGTTCAAAGAGAGAACCTGGCACCTTCTGGCATCCTGGAAAAGCTGATCCACAAGGATGCCCAGCCCTGGCTGTGCTGCTCTGAAGGCAGCCGGGAGGCCCGGAGCGCGTGTCGGAGCAGAGATGAAACTCCCAGTGACCACCTTGGATGGTGATTCCTGAAGGCGGCAAATCCCCAGGCCAGTGCCGGGGAAGGGCAGCCCATGGGGAGGGCCGCCTGGGGAAAGGGCCTTTAGCACCACCAGGCTTGAGGCAGGCAGGATGAGGCTGGGACCCCAGACTGAGGCTGAGTCACCTGTGGGAGACAGGAGGGAGGGGAGACTGAACCATGACCTCCAGGGCACAAGAGTTAAGGCAGTTCTGGGTCCCTGTAGGCCTCAGCCTCTCCTCTGGTGCCCCCACGGCGACTGCGGACATTGCCGCCCTAGGAGGACCAGGCAAAGGGGCATGTTTGAGGGCCCCTGTAGGCGAGGACACAGGGGTTTCTGCCCTCCTGGGCCAAGCCTCCCTCTTAGTCCAGCTCCTCACCTCAGTCCCACCCGCCCAGCCCTGCTCCCGGCCAGGGTGGGGCCAGGCGGGCATCATACAAAGACCTTGGCCAGGGCATCGGCGCCCGCGCTGGCGATGAGGGCCTTGCTGGGGTGGCAGGCGACAGCATGGATGGCCTCCTCGTGCTTCTTGCGGTGGGCGGTGATCTCCTGCACGCATGTCTTGTTGTCCAGGCTCCACAGACGCAGGGAGCAGTCGTGGCCTGCGCGGGCGTGGGGGCAGAGCGCACGTGTCACCGAGCAGCAGCAGCCAGCTCCTCCCCCAGACCCGACCCAGCGGGCCTCCCCCAAGGCCTCAGAGTCGGGCCGGGGCTCAATCCTCCTCCCGCCACCTCTGCCCAGTCACCTCCTGACACCCTGGCCTGCCATCCATCCATCTAGTCACCAGTATTCACTGAACAACTGCTATGTGCTGGGCCCTGGGGGTACAGTGAACAAAACAGGCAAGTCTCCGGCCCCTGCGAGCCAACTCTCCGGTATGGGAGAGCCAGTAAACAAGCAAACAGAGGAAACAATGCCAGGTGGTCATGCTCCTCGGCAAGTGTCAGGACAGAATGGCCAATGGGGGAGTCAGGGAGAAGAGCCTTCCGCAGTGGGGACAGCTACGGACAGGAGTGGGGCGGGGCATGAGCACGGACAGGAGTGGGGCGGGGGTGCAGCATCAGCCTGAGCAGAGGTGGAGGAGGTCAGAGAGCTGGGAGCAGAATGGGCCGGGCCTTGGGGGCCATGAGCCACTGGAGGGAGATGGCCTGACGTGGGCGTTAGAAGGATCAGGTGGCTGCAGAGGAGGCGGGCTCTCTCTCTGTCCCTTTTGGAGGAACCAGGGCCTGTACTGAACCCTCCCCACCAGGGCTACCTCTCTCACTGACCACGCTCTCACCCATCTCTTCAGAGACAACTGCTGCCGTCACGGGCAGATGGAGCGCAGGAAAGCATGGGTCCACAGCGGCCCATTCACCCCCCTCCCCCCACACCTCTGCACACTGGCTCGCTGGCTCACTCACACCCCACACAGATCCCAGGCTGTGCCCCAGAAGCAAGCGGCAGCCCCTGCCCTGCGGCTGAGGCCGCTCAGCTCCGATAGCACACACCCAGCTCAGCTCCCCAGGGGAGCTTCAGCCCCTGCTCCCTCGGCCTGAGTCCCACCCATCCCTTCAGGGCACAGCCGCAGTCACAGGGCCTCAGTGCCCTCCACCACCAGGAGGAGGGCGGCAACAAAGACTAAAAAAGCTTGTGGGGACTGAGTCAAAAGACCCAAACTTCAATGCCTGCAGCCCACTGGGCTGTGCCCGTCACAGGAGCCTCCACATCTGTGCAACGGGGACGAGCGTGCCGCCCTTGCAGGGTTAGTCAGATTAAATGAAATGATGCAGGCAAGTGCCTGTGGGGAGCTCTGAGTGCACAGGGCTTTGCTGTGGCCATTGTGACCACCTCTCTTCCTGCCACTGAGAGGTTCCCTGCGCAGCGCCCCTGCAGAGCAAGGCTTCGGGACCAAGGCCCAGGCCTGCCGGGGAGGCACGTGCCCTTGTTACTTAGCAGCCACAAGGGTCCCAACTTACTTCCCGACATCAAGAACACGCCATTGGGGTCCACGGCCAGGCAGGTAACCGCGTCCAGGTGGGCAACCATGGAGTGCACGCATTTCCCTGAGGGCAGAGGGGCGGCAGGTTACTGTCCCACTCTGCGCCTTGCCTGCGAAGGGCGCCTAGAGCCTCCAGGGTGGACACCAGGGTTTCTGTGCATGAGGCTGGCCCGCCCCGCCTCCCACAGGCACAGGGAGCTGGGGAGCCAGGAAGGCAGGGCCTCACCTGTCCGGTTGTCCAGGAAGCGGATGCCTCTGTCGTCATGGGCGGTGATGGTGAGGGGCTGGTTTGGGTGACTCACCACCTGGTTGATCTGGGTTGGGCCTGGAAAGAAAAGCCAGGAGAGGAGGGGACATGAGGGGGAAATCTGGAGACCAGGACAAAAGCAAGAGGAGGACCCTGCCCCCACACCCCCATCTCTGCCTAGATGAACAGGAGGGCAGGGCACCCGGCCGCACCTCTCCCTGGGCCAGTGTCCCATCTGCACACTGGGCACTGGGGCCTGCCCTGGGGAGTGCAGGGAGGGCGGTGGAGGCTGAGAGGGCCTGTCCGCGCTGCCACGTGGGCCAACGGGCAAGTCCCTGACACTCCCTCCTCAGCCCTCCCAACACCCTGGGCTGTCAGTTCGGGCAGTGGCTGGGACCTCATCTCAGAGCTCCCCAAGGGGGTGGGGAGCCACTGCAACAGATGGAGACCCGAGTCACCAAAGCCACAGAACTGGGGGCCTTGGAGGCATTCAGATAGCAGCCCTGGGGCCCTCTTACCGCTGCTCCCCTGGGACTCCAGCGTGAGGAGGGCACTGCCAGCTTCCAGGTCATACAGGATGGTGTCGCCAGAGCGGAAGGAGGCCACGACGTGGGCAGGCTCGGTGCTGGTGAAGGCCACTGAGGTGGGGATCCTGTGATCTGTGGCGGGGGCGAGGGAACGCTGCCTCACGGACAGATCTGGGCCCAGGGCTGAGGGGCAGGTGTCGCCTCCTCACAGGGTCCCCACTGACCCCATGTCCCTCAACTCACCGCTGGCTGCGGGGAAGGTACAGAGGCAGGTTGGGCTGCTGCTGCTGGGGTCCCAGATCCGGATGGTGCCGTCGGCGGAACAGGAGGCCAGGCGCTGGGAGGTGGGACTGAAGGCCAGGCCCCACACGGCGTCCCCATGGCCCTCCAGGACGTGGCTCAGCACGCTCGGGTCTGGACCCACCGAAGGGAGGAGATGGACTGCGTCAGGGCCACCAGCCCATCGTGGACCGTCCAGAGCAGGAGCTCTGCCACGCGGCCACCCTCAGCCGTCATGCCCTCGGACCCATCCCCACTGCAACGCGCCCTGGTGGCGGCTCACGCTCCGACCCCTGGCTCTCCTGGGAAGATTCAGGGCTCTAAGGCAGCCCAGCATGGAAGCTCCAGAGGACAGGGACGACCCCCGGGGACGCACAATAGTGACTGGCACGAAGTGGGCACTCAATACCTACTTTTTAAAGCTGAGTTAAGGGAAGAAGGAACAACAGTGACTCGGGCCCGAGGCCCCTCTTCGAAGCCTGGACCCCTACAGTGTTTCCTGCCCCGCACATCAGCCTTGCCCAACCTCTCTAAGCCCCCGGTCATCCCCACTACTGCCTTCCTGGCTACTCGAGTTCACGCAGAGGGCTCTGGTTGGGCCCTGCTGATGCCCCCTGGGTGGCAGCTCGTTTGGCCCAGAGCATGTGCTGCCAGCGACTGACCCCTGGTCTTTCCCAGGGTGAGGCTGCGCCTGGGAAAATGGCATATGTTCTTTGAGGGAGACACAGGCCTCTACGCTCTGCCACTACAGGACGGTGCACAGGGCCAAGTGCGTGATCAAAAGAGGTGTCAGAGAGAAGGGACAGACACCGAACAGAGGTCCCCCTCTACCTAACTTCCAGAGGCACCCCGAGGATGAAGCACAGCCTCTCTGCACGCTGGCCTGGCTAACTGCCCCCTCACCTGCCCTCCTCCCTGGCTCCCTGCTGGGTCGCATGGGGAGGCCGCCGGGGCCCCCAAGCTGCCCCATGGACTGGCCCTGGCCCCCAGGCCAATTCTGAGTTAGCTCAACCGTCCTGTCCAACCCTCCAGCACATGCTGAGCCACGCTGTTCCACACTTCACCAGGCTGAGCAGCCCTGTCATCCGCCCCCCAGTACCCGCAGTGTGGGGCAGGGGCGGAGGCCATCTGTTTGTGCTGAGGGAACGAAGAGGCCCCAGCGGACAAAGGGTGGGGGAGAAGGAGGCAGGGCAAGGGAGCTGTCTCACCGTAGCCATCGTAGGGGTCCATGTTGAGGTCGGGAATCTTCCAGCTGTGGATGCGGGCATCTGCCCCACCACTGTAACAGTATTCACTGTTGCTGCCCATGGCTACTGCCAACACGGGGCCCCTGGAGGACACAAAGGGGGCGGGGGGGCAACAAAAAGCTCAGTGTTCACCCCTCCCCAGCCTCTCTCCCGGGACCTTGGAGCTCTTTCTCTGCTAGCATTTTTCAAGGGTGGCCAGAGTGATCCAGCCTCTGGGGCTCCTGTTGTGCCCCGGGCATGTTGCCTGCCTCCGCCTTCCCTCACCCGTGTCTGCTTCCCCCTCCGAAGGCTGTGCCGAGAACCAGATATTGGGGCGCCGACCGTGTCTGCGGAGCACTAGGGGTGAGGTGCGCACAGGCACAGGGACTTGGAGCTCCCGCTGTCCTGCTTCCCTCCGCAGGCCCCCAGGGGTGGCAATCAGTGCGAGGTGGGGGCCAGCCTGCCTGTGGTGGCACTATCTTCCCTACCTGTGAGCCCGGAAGGCATGGATAGGTTCCACATCTAGTGCAGCATTCCTGTGGGGAGACAGATGTCACTGAGGGCCCCTTGTCACCCCATCCCCTGGGCCCAGGTGCCCCTGCCCCAGTCCTCCGCCCTTGGGCTGTGCCCTCACTTCTTGGCTGTGACGGCCTTCTGCAGGTTCCAGAGCTTGAGTGTGCCGTCCTCGGACGCGGTGAGCAAAGCCGACTGGCTGTGGTGGAAAGCCAGGGAGCGGATGCCATCGTAGTGTGAGCGGAGAGTGAATTTGGGGTTCCAGGTCTTCTTAAAGGCATCTTTGCTGTCAGATAGCTGGGGACGGGGGGGAGTGGCCTCAGTGCCTTCTCCTGACCCTGGCAGTCGTGCAGGCACGGACACTGAGGACTCCAATGACGGGCCCCTCTGCCACCCAGGCGCACGTGCAGCACCCCCAGACCGGCCTCCAGCCCCAGCTGCTCCCCGCTTCCTCCTGGCCTGGCAGCACCCCCTCACTTGGCAAGTTCTTCCCAGTCCAGAGGGGCCTGTGACGGGGGGAGATGCTCAGGTCGTCCCCCTCATGCACAGGGAGTGCCATGAATTACAAATGCACCAGGAGGCGGCGCCCGCACCCGGGAGGTGCAGGGGGTCAACAGGCTTTCTGAGCAAGTGACAAAAGCGGCAGGACTTCACCAGGTAAGGAGAAAAGGAAGAAAACTGCATGTGCAAAGTCCCCGAGGCAGGAGGCAGCAAGGATGGATGCAGAGCCCAAGAGGAAGCCTGGGCACAGAAAGCCAGGGGAGAGTGGCTGGAGCATGAAAACGGGGACAAGCAGACACAATGGAGAGAGACCAGGGAGCAAAACCCCAGGGACACTGCACATGCCCTGGGGAATGGCGGTGGCAGAGGGACCTTGGGGGACAACGCAAACTGTCAGGTGAGCCTTGGTGCCCTGCCCCAAATGCCACTTCTGTTATATTCTTTAGGGCCAGATGGCCTGCCTTGTGTGCTGATGCCCTCATTCACTCCCCAGGAGCGGGGGCGAGGCGGGGCGTCACACTCGGACCAGCTCCCCTATTCAAACTCCAGCTCTGGCCTCCCTTCCCAGCCCCCCACAGCAGCACCCCTGCCTTCGCTGGGACTGGGGCACTGACCACCCAAGATCCCGCTAAAATCTCCGGGAAAGGCTCTGCCACGTGCGCAGGGAAATGCACACGCACCTGACCCAGGCATTCTCAGATGGCCAGGGGCCTGCCCACGGACCTCAGGCTGTGCACGCCGGCCCCAAGGTTTCCTCTCACTGCAGCCTAACCGCCCCACCAGCCCCCATGCGCACCAGGCCGGCTTGACTTTTTGGCTGTTGCAGGGAGCCCGCCTTCCCTTCAAAGCCCAGTCAGTTCCAGCTTTCTGCAGGCCATCTTACCCGCACCGCTGCCAGCCCAGGGCCCCTCCCTCCTCTGACGCTGGATTTGGCTTCGGTCCCCACCTCACCCAGCAGCAGTGGGTCCTGGACTTGAGGGGCACCTAAGCAAGCCAGGGTGGGAGGCAGCGTCCCCTGGAGAAGGAGTCTAGGAGCCTACCAGCATGATCAACACAGGCTCCAGGGTCTTCTAGGCTCTGCAACGGCGGGGCGGGGCCTGTCAAGCCCCCTAACCTGTCTGCCTCGGCACCCCTCAGCGTGAGCTGCTGAATGAGCCCACACAGCCCTCACATGTCAGGGCTAAGCACAGGCCGCGCGTGCAGTCAGTGCTCAGCAGGTGCCGGCACTGTGCATGACGCCCAGCGAGGGTGGTGGGGGGTGGGCACCCCGAGAACTTACGTCACAGCTGAGGTCGTTGTCATTGGTGACGGTGAGATCTGCCAAGTCCCCCAGGCTCACCTCCCCGCCCCCGATAGTGTCCATGATGAAAACGTCTGAGGAGAAGCCAAAGGAACCTGGTGGGGGGAGGGGAGGGAGGGGGTAGAGAGGGGTCGGGAGAGAGAGAAAGACAGAGAGAGGCAGAGAGAGAGAGATGAGGTGTGAGAGAGAGAGACAGGGAGAGGACAAGATCAAGAATCACAGCTGGAAAGAAAGAGACAGGGAGAGACAGACGGGGCAGGACAGACAAAAAGAGGGGGAAACAGAGACAGACAGACGAACTTTTGGGACAGGGAGTCTGCAGACTAGGGGCTGGGCCAAGACCCTGAGGACAAAGAAGCCCTGGGCTTTAGCTCTGCAGCCTCCCTCTGATGGGTGTCGGGGGAGAAGGGCCTCTTACCTTCGTGTGGCCGGGGCTGGGGTGTGCCAGGAGGTGGACCAGTCACTTTGGGGGGCAGCCCGTCCACATCCCGAAGGTCAGCCAAAATGCCCTGGAGCTTGACCCGCCGGCTTTCTGCAGGGCGGAGGCACCGGGCGGGAGTCACCCACCAGTTCGATCGAGCCGCACACAGGTGACCCCTTCCCCGCCACAGGAAGCCTCTCCTGTGTGGAGGCTGGGAGGCCCTGGCCCCAGGGTGCACTGCGGCTCAGGGTGGGGTGGGGGATGGCTAGAGGAGAGATACTGCGCTGGGAGCCTCGGTGGCCTGCCCTGGCAGGGGCCTCAGTCTCCGGCCATGTTCCATGACCCCCAGGGCCTCAGCTCAGCGTCACAGAACAGGAGGAAGATGCAGCACTGCTCCGGCTGCCCCTCCCCCGCTGGTCCCCATCCTGTTTCCTCCCTGAGGTCCGCCAAGAACTGGACACATGTGCGCAGAAGGCTGGTGGCCCTGCTTCAGGAAGAGCTGGTCCTGCCTGCGTCCCCATGGGGATTTTCCAGGGAAGGGGTGCGGGCCTGGCTACCGTGGCATGGGCCTCCTGCTCCCCCCTGGCCACCGCCGCTCAGGAAGTGTGTCCGTCCGGTGGAGACCCTGGGGCAGGAAGCAGCTGCAGGTGGCCGTGTGTGCCCCTACCACCCTCGCTGAGGAGGGCTGGCAGGAACCCTCCACTCACCCAGCTCATGGTGGGGCCCCTCTCCAGCGCATCGCCGGGGGTCCGGAGAGCCCTCGCCGTCCTCTCCTGAGCCCAGAAAATCGAACTCATTGATGGCATCCTCTGAGTCGTCCTCCTCGTCCTCATCCTCCATTTCAGGCACCAGGGCCTTGGCTGGCAGCTGGGGTGTGGAGGAAAGTGGACAGGTTAGGGAGCTCGTGCCAGAGCCCAAGCCCACTGCATCCCGGGGAACAGAGCAGCTGAGGTTCCCAGTCTGCAACGGCTGGTGCCGCTGGCTCCCTCCACCAAGCCCTACTTTGGCGGCAGTGCTCCCCCTGCTGGGAGCCCTCAGAGGCTGCTCCCTTCTAGAGCCCATGGGGCCAGCGCCCCCGCCTGCCTTTGGAGACCTCCCCTCCCTCCTCCACCTCCAGCTGTGATCCCTCTGGGAACAGCCCCTCCTCCTGGCTTTCCGCTCGCTCGGGCCCAGGCTGTTCCTGCTCCTCTAATCCCTGCCTCCAGCGCAGTATTTCCCATGAAGAAAAGTTCCTATGACAACTGCTTCAGGGGAGAGGGGCGACGTGTTTGTGTCTCAGTGTATCCATGGAGGTGCAAAATTAAAGTGAGGACACACCCATGGATGTAAGAATAACAAACCCTCATCAAAAACCGGGCTGGCCTCTGCTTTTTCAGTGCACCAAGTTAAGACTTACATCTATGACTCCACAACCCATATAGTTATTGTAATTGCTATTTCATTATTACACAAGGAGAAAATGAGGATGAGCAAGGCAAAGCTCCTTGCCCCAGGTCACCAGCTCCAAGCCTTATACACAAGACAGCTCTGGGCTGTAAGCTTTCTTGGGGTTCTCCAAGGCTTCCTGAGAATGTTCTAGATTGGCTGAATTTTTATTTTCTTATATAACCAGCACACACTACTTTTAGAATGAGAGAAAACAACACAATTCCTCCACTCTGAGAGCAGAATGCTGGACAAGTGCATACTGAGTTTCCTAAATTTCCCAAAGTTGGCCTGACACCGGGGTAGGAACCAAATTATCCATTTTCCTCAATTTACAAGCCTGGACCCCATCCCAGACACATGTTCAAGAGCAGCATGGCACCTGCACGTCTCCCCATGTGGACAACTTTTAGACACAGCCTTATGAAATGACATCTTGCATATGACTCTCTACTCTCTCATCACGACAAAGTGCCACCCAAGGGCTCCGCACTCCGAACCACAAACGCTGCACCGAAGGCCTAAGGGAGGCTGCAGAACTCTCAAAGACAGTTCTGACTGCGGAGCCCCGCTAACTGTAAGTGCTGGCTTAGGGGCACATGCCACCACCAGGGTTCTCTCTCCCCGCTGCTCCGCATCGGTTAAGAACACACAGCACTGGGAGGAAACAAGATGGCGACCAGCGGGTAAGGGGCAGTGTGTTAAGAACACCCAGCGCTGGGGTTCTGACAACCACCAGGCTCTACCACCACCTCTCCCAGGGAACCTTCTCCTTCTTGGGTGGTTCCTGCCTGCACTGTGCCCTGGGCACCCACAGGGCCAGCCTTGCTCAGACTGCGAACTCCTCAAGGGCGTGGCTGACCGGTCCCCCACAGGCTCGCGCCGCAGGCTGGTGTGGACTGTAGACTTGGAGGCAGCACCCTTCCGGCACCCTTGAGGGGCCAGCTTCCGGCCTCTGGGAGAGGACCAGAGGGATGGCACAGAAGCGCCTTCCTCTTCCTTTCCAGGAGACCCCGGGTCAACTCTTACACAGCCCAGGGAGGCAATGGCGGGGCGGGGCTCCACACTGGCGCTCTGAAGGGCCCATGCTGCCTCTCGCTCTGAGTGCCACTCTGCCGCCACTCGACATGGCAGCCACTGAGCAGCCAAGGGCTTTCTATGCACGACCTCATTTTAGTGCAATCCTCAACAACCCAGACACAGGCACCATGAGCCCCTAAAACTGAAGTTAGGACAAAGAGAATCAGATGCCCGAAGTTACACAGGCAGGCCGGCAGCCGTTCCGGGGGTCACGCTAGGTCTTTCAAATCACAGTCTGGTCACTGAAGGTCTGCTGTGCGGAGACAGGGGCATGGGAAGGCATGAAACCCCTACACAGTAAGCCACCCATAGGGCACATGGGACAGAGGCAGGGACAGATGCAAAGGCCTGAGGGAATATGAAAGAAGTCAGCAGTCATTTCTGACGGGAGGAGCAGAGAGGAGTGGGAAGGCTGTCCAGAGGAGGCCGAGGTAAGACTTGCACAGTGGTGACAGCCCTAGTGGGGGCAGGAGGGACCAGGCATTCTGGACCAGGGCACAGTACTGGGCAGCCCATGCTCAGAGACATGCTGGTTCTTCTGTAAGCCCGACCTCTGTAAGTGGCTCCGGGGACTGCCTTTCACTCAATGCGTTCAATTGAGCACCTAGTCTAGGTGGGGCCCTGAGATGAACCACACTGGAGACACTGGGAGTCGTGGACAGGACAGACATAGCCCCTCATAAGGATGGGTGTGGAGGGATACAGAGCCAACACCAGGTAGGGAGGGTCCAGAGTAGTCCAGGTAAGGAGAGGGGAGCCTCCAAGAGGCTCCTAAGCCTGTGGAGGAAAGGGGAGCAAAGGTGAGTCAGGGAAGGCTCCCTGGAGGAGGGGGTATCTGAGGTGAGCCTAAAGAAGAAAGGGTTCTGATGGGAAGCCAGGTGAATGAAAAGCCGCCCCACCACTTCATAGGCATGTGTCCCTGACTCCACTGTGGCACGTTCCTCTGCACGTGGCTTCTTATAAGCCCAACACAGGCCACAATCCCCTCCATGTAGGAACTACCCCTGCTGCCAGCACACAGCTGGTGCACTAAGGCCCAAACTGATGCTTACTGGACAGGTGAGGCTATGCCATGCCTAAGGACAGTGATGTCGCCAGGGTAAAAACATGGTGGGAGCCATTTCTTAAGGTCAAGCTGAGGGCATGTGAACCCTGCCCTGTGGGCAATGTCTCTGGAACTGGATCCTGACAGCAGCAGACTGGACACATGCATCCTCTGCAGGTTCCCACAGAACACCCCAACCTGGCCCCAGGCTGAACCCTGGGCCCAACCACATTCATTCAGGGTGCTGGGAAGAGAACAGTGAAAAGGCCAGCGGACCCGCCTCATGGAGCTCACAGTTTCCTGGGGGAGACACACAGACAGGGTCACACCAAAAAACTATCTGATTGTGACTGTGATCAGGCTAGCCTGGAGCAGAGAGCAGTCAGAGGGCACTGGGAGCTGCCCTGGTCCGGAGAGTTCAGGAAAGACCTCTCGAGCTGAAGAAGGACGGACAGAGAGAACAGGGGTGCAGGTGGGGCAGAGGCAGGCCCTGGCAGTTAAGATCTGGTGCCTCTGCAGGTTACTGAGGCAAGGAGACGGGGACCCTGGGGTGTGGTCAGGCCACACACAGACCACAAGGGTAGTCCCAAGAGCCCCCCAGGGGTCCCCTGTCCTCGTTCACAAAGCCAGGGGGTCCTCTTTGAGGAGCACTTCCTTTTGGCTGCTGCGCTCACCTTCACACGCTGCTTTTTGTGCTGCACACTATCCAGCTCATCGTCCTCGTCGCTGTCTTCATCCTCACAGTTCTGCAGGAAGGGGATCTGCTCCAGCACTGAGCCGCCCAAGCGCTCTTTCCCGTCTTTGCCTGCTGCATTCCTACCCGCAACAGGGGATACAGGGGGTATTAGTTCTGCCATGTGACAAAACTCAAATGAGAGGGCACCGAGGCTTGGTGGACAAAGCCTGGACCCATGTCTCAGGAGGGCAGAGCCCACACTGATCCCAGAGGAGTCTTGACTGTGATCACACACAGGGTTTCAACCCCAGCACCTGCTTAAAAGACACTCACCCTAACTCAAAGCCCCACATGGACTACAGACTGGGCCCACCTTCTCACTGGGCTCTCACTCTGAGTTCTATAGGACTAGCCCCCAACCCTCACCACATGTCTCTTACATGCTTTGAGTCAGGAGTGCTAGATGAGAAAATGCCAGACTCAGCAGCCCCCGTTTCCTCGGCCTGGGCAAACCACAAGTGCAGGCCAGGTGAGTGACAGAGATGCACCCCAGGGGAAAGAGGAACTGGTCACTACCAATGTCCGGGCCCTACAGCCAGCAGGGCCACAGCCAGACCTGCACTCTCCTCATGGACGGTGGCACTCCTGGTTCCACCTCCTAGTAGTGCCTCCAGCCGAATGCCAAGTTGTAACAAAGGAGGGATTTGCCAAACCTGACACCAGAGTAGAAAGGGGGTGGAATTCCGAGAAATACAAACATCCTTCTTTATTTGGCCACTAGACTGATGCTCTAGAGAGTTCCTACAACTGCCCAAGTACGTGGTTACTGCCCAGTGGTGAGAGCTGCTTCCAGGCAGCCAAGTCACTCACTTCCCTGGCCTCCCCACACACAGCTGCCCAGCAGAATATCTCTGCGCTCAGCTGCTGGGATGCCATCTCAGAGTTTCCTCCAACAACACTGGCTGTCTCACTCAGCCTCCTTTGCCACTGTCCCTCCCTCCACTTCATTCTCTAGCCTCAGCCCTTGGACCTCGTCTCTGTGCATGCCATCTACACTCTCTCCTCCAGAGACTGCGAAGTCCTGTGACTTTTAATACCCAAGGTGTGCTGGTGAACTAGGGATGAGTTTAGCAATCAAGTGCCCTAGCCCAGCTCCAGGCCGGCTGCTCAGCACCTGCACTGGGGGTCACCGGGCACCTCGAGCCCCACTCATCCTGAATAGCCCCTCGGTGGGTCACGCCTCGCTCTCCCCATCCCAGTGGATGCTGCTCCCAGGTGCACAGACTCATCCTGCAGTCAGCCCCAGTTTCTTTCCCCTCCCTCCACATACAAACTTTTAGATTGCACCAACTCACCCTAAAAATCCAAAGAGAAGCTGACTGCCTCTCACATCTCCACCTAACACCCCCCCATCTCTCGCCTCAGGCATCTCCCAAGGTCTCCCCACATTCCTGTCCTCCTCCAGCCATGCCTTCTTGAAGCAGTCCTCATGTGTCAGGTGACATCACATCCCTGCTGGAAACCGCTGGCTTTCCACAACCCCAGAGTAGAATCTAAAACTTACCACAGCCTGTGAGGCCCTGTTTGATCTGACTCCTGAGATTTCAGCCTCACCACAGACCACAGGCCCCATGTGCTCAGCCCACTGCAGCCTTGCCAGCCTTTCTGCTGCATCCCGAACAAGCCCAGTCTCCTCCATCTTGGAACCTCTACCCTTGCTGTTCTCTCCGCCCAGAACATCCGTTCTCCAGCTACCTGTATGGCCCACCCTCCATTTCCCACACTCCTCTGCCCAACCGTCACCTCCACAAAAAGGTCCTGCCTGCCCATCTCATCCAAAGTGCTGCTATTCTTCCCATCCCTCTTTCTTATATTGCCTTTCCTTTTCTTCACAGCACCTAACATCACCAAACATCACATGATTTATTCTGATGAATAACAATTACAAATGAGAGAAGGAACAAGTAAGAGCTCCTCAAGAGCAGTGACTGTGTGTTCTGTCCCCCACCGGGTCCTGGCATGTGGCCGTGGGCCCGACGTCCACTAAGGGGTGTACCAGCTGCACCTGCGGAGAGGGCCCAGGCTGGGGGTGAGCCGTGCTGCATTATCAGCACCACGGCAAGGCCAAAGGAGAGTGTGTACATAGGGCCCAGGGCAGAATCGGGGATCCCACAAGCAAGGGACAGCAGGTTCTGAACCACATGAGCCCACCAAGTGCTACAGGAGGGAAGTGGCCAGCAGAGCCCTGGAATACTAACTTTTCTGACACTGGCCTTCACCAGGAGGGAGGACGCACAGAGAGAGGGACCTGCCAGGCCCAAGGGCTCACCTCTTGATCTGCTCTTCGATCTGTTTCACCAGAAGCGACTCCCCACCGCTGAGCCCCCCAGGGCCTAGTGTGGCCCTGGGGCCCCCTTCACTGGGCTCCGCGGCCCCATTGAGCTCCAACGAGCGTCCCAGCAGGGATCGAACACGCTTGGACCGCATGTCCAGGATGGTGTCCGTGTAGCCCACCTCCTCCAGGTACCTGCAGGGACCAGAACCAGGGAGGGTCAGACATGCTGGGGCTTCTTTATATACTGCGGTCTTACACGAAGGACAGCACAGCGGACCTCCTTTCTGGAGGAGCAGCTTACGGCTGTGCACCAACATTTCAAACAAGCATGTCCGGTCCCCGCTGTTTCACTTTCAAGACTATTGCCAGTGGCAGGCTTTACACCCAGTGCTGCCACACTGACGCTCACCGCGGTGCTGTGAGGGAGACCAAACACAGGGGCCCAGCTCCACGTCCACTGACAAGGACTGTGGAAGCAAATCACTGATGGGGACATTAGGCAGACACTACACGAGGGAGAACAGTAAGGAAAGACGGCCACAACAAATGGCTTAACAAAAATGGCAAGTTACGTGTTACATACAATTCAAGTGTTTAAAAAAGTGTTCATGAGTGAGTACAGAACACGCACGCACGCATGCAGAATGCCCCCCAAGGTCGAGACAGACACAGACTAAACTTAACAGCAAGCAGTCAGTGACCTCTGGAGAACGGGACTAGGAATTTCAGAGGAACTTTTACTTAAAAAAAATTTGATCAATTTTAGAGAGAAGGAGAGGAGGGGAAAAGAGCGTGCAAGAGAGAGAGAAACTTCGATCTGTTGTCCACTTATTGATACATTTACTGGTTGATTCTTGTATGTGCCCTACCAGGGGATCAAACCTACAACCTTGGTGTATTAGGACAATGCTCCAACTAACTGAGCTACCTAGCCTGGGCTAGGAACTTTTGTAACTTACCCTATTCACTTCTACAAATAAGCATTTATTACTGCTGCAATTTAAATAATTGAAGCCAGCCCCGGCTTCAGTGTTGCTCAGTGGATTAAGCGCCAGCTTGCAAACCAAAAGGCTGCCGGTCAGAGCACATGCCTGGGCTGTGGGCCAGGTCCATAGTTGGGGGCGTGCGAGAGGCAACAGATCAATGTATCACTCGCACAGTGATGTTTCTCCCCCTCTCGTTCTCCCTCCCTTCCCTTCTCTCTAAAAGTAAAAAAATAAGAATAAAAATAAAGAAAGAAATTGAAGCCAACTGGGACTGGTCTAAAAGCAGAAAAAGGGAGGGGGGGAGAAATCAATAATGGGTATCAATGGCTTCAAAAAATGCGAGACAAGAGTCCCCTGCTGGTCCTCAGGAAGGTCCCTGAAAGCCTTTTGTGTACCATGACCCTGTCCCTTTGGGGCCCTGCCCCTCGCATGTTAGGACTTGCCGTCAGTGCGCTGCGTGTGTCCGAGATGCCCCTCCCCACCAAGCAGGAGGAGGGAGGCGCGGGGGCGAAGAACTGGGCTCTGGGGGCGGACTGCCCAAGATTACCCCTCAGACCCTCCGCTATTAGCTGTATGACCTTATGCGAACAGTGCCCTCTCTACACCTTGGGTTCTCATCTGGGAACACGAGGGGAACAAGCAGTTACACCACCTGGGGATTTGTGTGAGGAAGTGATGTGTGCCAGCTGTTCAGCACAGTGTCGGGCACATACTAGGTAGTTGGCAAATGTAGCTTATTACAATTATTTTGTTATTGTTTGCACACACTTTAAGTTCACAATTGCACTTCCAGATGTTAGCTTAAGAAAATCAAAGATATGACCAAATAACTTCCTGATGTTTGTCACACTGTCTATAAAAACAACTTCAACAAAATACACAAGAAGGGACTGGCTATGGAAAGTTAATGGTCACTCATGTCACAAACTACTACACAGTTCTTCCAACAATGCACCGTACCTAATTTATATGGAAAGATGTTCACAACGCTTAGTGAAAGCAATGTATTACAAAACACTGCAAAAGGGAAGCTCCTGTTTATAAAACACTAACACACAAACACAAAAACATAACCATGAAGAATTATGAGTGATTTCTATTCTTTTTGTGTTTCCTTTATTTCCCAAATTTTCTAACACACAAATCTCTCTGGTAGTAAAAAAAATAATAATAATTTAACATTATCCTTGGGAAAAGAAAAGCAACAGGCATTTGGGGTTGCTTTCCGAGAGTGGGGGTCTCTCTCATCTGCCTCCTGCACGGAATCTTCTCGCCCCCTCTCCAGGTGGGGCTCCACCCACATGGTGACAGCCCAGCTCAGCTGTGGCCAGCAGGGATCTTGATAGTTCAGGGTCCCCACTGGGGACAGGAAGGGCTGTGAAGCCTTCAAGCTTATCTCCCAAGCCAGGCATGTCCCTTGTCCCCTACTCCCCGCCTTTGTCCCTCTGTACACTCACTGTCGAAGAAGCTGTCGCCCCTCCTTCCACACCAGCGGGCTGTTCTCCAGGGTGACCGACTCCACAGGGCCATTGGAGACTGGACGGCAGAGAGGAAGAAGGCAGGCTGTCTTGGCCAGGGCACCGCCACATACCCATCACCACCCCCCACCTTCCTCACCCTCAAACCCAAATTGATCACGGTCACAGGTCCTGCAGAGTCACTTCCTAAGTGTTTGAAATCTGCTCTCCACTCTGCCCTCCTTATCTCTAGTCTCCTGACTGGTCATTCCCAAAACCGTCCCCCAAACTGTCTCCAGGCTCAGCGCTAGTTACGTTACTTTCCTACGCAGAAGCCAGCCCAGTTCTAAGAAAATAGGCAGACTCGGCTGGGCAGTCCAGCTCTGCCACTTGAGCTGGTTAGTTTACCTATCTGAGCCTCAGTTTCCTCTTCTGAGAAATAACGTTAATAACAGCAGTACGTACAGCCCTTGGGATTGTCGTGTGGATTAAATGAGATCTGTTTATTCATTAAATATTTAGTGCACATCCTGGGGCGGAGGGTATAAGGGGACTAAATGGTAATGGGAAGACAATATAATAGACTATATTAAAAAATAATGTATGACAATAAATTTCAAGGCATGAAAAAAAATATTTACTGCACATCCCTGTCCCCTGCCCTGGTGAAGCTCACATTCACATTCTCATAGGGGGAGTCTGACACAAGGAACAGCAGCCACTACCAGCCCAGCAGTGGAAGCCTTGACAGGTCACAGTGCCGCTGCAGGCGGGGGTGGTGGGGGGGGGCCCTGCTCCCAGGGCCCCACACCACTCCTTCCGGTCACACCCAGAAACTCCCTGTTCCCTAACGCCCCACACTCTTCTGTCTACCTGCAGCCCCTCCCTACCGCTCTGCCGGTGAACTGATCCTCTGTGAAGGAGTCTGCACTGTAAGGGACCTTGTGTGCCTGTCTCTATTCCACGGAAGGACAGCAGGCAGGCTGGCCTTCTTTACCACTGCCCACCCCCTCTGTCCCCCCAGGGGTCCAGCACAGTCCCCAGCACCGAGCAGAGCAGCCTATGGGGAGAGGCACTGAGAGTGAGAGGCAACCCGTCCCCAGGACCTGGCCAACCCTGCCTTCCATGGAGCAAAGAAAGAGAGGCAGCCCCCCTCACCTTCGGTTGTACTGGGAGAGGCGAGTGGGGAGGATCGGGGCGGGGAAGTGGGTACCTTGTTCTGACAGTTCTGGTTTCTTCTCTCCCTGGTTCGGGTCTGTACCAAACTTCAACTTATGATATTTGGCCCTAAAAGAATAAATGAGTATCAAATGAGAGGCAAGAAGGGCAGTCAGACAGCACTCACCTCAGGAATCCCAAATCCCCAGCCCCCCCCCTCCACTCTCCTACCTCTGAAGCGGAGCTCCCCCCACCTTCCCACATTATGAAGCAGCCCTGGTGGGGGAGGCACCACACATGGCGCTGTGCAGAACCCACTCTTCGGAGTCTGGCAGACTGGGTTGCTAGCCCAGCTCCAGGAGTCCTTAAAGAAGTCCTCACCCTCCGGAAGCCCACTGTACCTATTAAGCTATTGGAAGGGATGAGACAATATGAACAGACGGTGTTTGGCACACAATGGGCCACCATTATTATGAGTATTGTCACTAGTGTCTAACCTGAATCCATCCACTATGTCTTGTCCTGACCCCTCTCCTAGAATCAGGAGGACCTCTGCTCGTGAATCTCCCTCGGGGGAAGGGAGCGGCCGGCCTCCTGACCCTCCCGGCCCTCCCGCTTCGGACCGACTTCTCGGGGGCAGGGCCCGGCCAGCAGGGCTCACCTCTCCTGCTTCAGCGCGTATTCTAACATCTTGATCCGCCGCACCAGGTCTGTCTTGAGATTCTCTTGCCCTTTCCTTTCTCCCTGGAGGAAAGCCACCTGAGCCTGGGGGCACAGGGAACAGAAGACAGCAGGCCTTAGGCTCACTGATGTGTGTCCCTCCCTCACTCAGGGACAATCAGCGCCAGCCCCTGCCCCAACAATGACATGCAGCAGCCACTTCTTCGGGCGTGGAGATCCCGAGCCGGGGTTCAATGGAGCATGAGAGGGCATGCTGGATTGGCCTCCAGAGTCCCTGCCAGGTCCCCCGCAACGGGGAGCTGAGAGGAGGCCCTAACCCTGACAGGAAAACAGGGCCAGCGTGGGCCTAACCTGCCCCTGCCCTCTGCGGGGAAGTAGGCTGGGGGATAAAGGTGGGAGGCGGGCAATAGCAGCCTGGGCTCCTCTTCCTCCCCCACCCAAGGGTGGGTGCTGTCCCTTAGGCCGCTGGTAGAGATAGCGTCTCACTATTTCTACCAGAGCATCTGTCTCTGGGAGGAGGAGGAGGAGGAAGTTACTTCTGGAGTTCAGGGACGAGAGTGGGTGGCTCAGCTCAGCTCCTGCTCCAGTGGAAAAAGCTTTACCACCCGACTCCCACCATAGGGACCAACCATCCACTGGAGTCCGCCCAGAATGCGGGAGACGTGCTGCAGACATGGCCCAGGGCCCCTGCCAACCACTCCACACCGTCTGCTGGCATGGGCTGCCCCAGGCTGCTCTGGTCTGTCAACAGGTCTTCGGGAGACACTGGGCCAACAGCCTGCGAGGCAGGATCCTGGCTCCTGACCACATTCCGGAGGCCCTGTGCCAAAGCCCCGCGTGTGGGCCCATCCCTGGCTTCTCCCCACGTGCTCTGCTGTTCTAGGCTGGGACGGCCTGAGCCCCAGGCCTGGCTCGGCCACTCACTTGCGGCATGATCTTAGGCAGGTCACCGGCCTTCTCTGAGCCTCCATTTCCCCTTCTAGAAAATGGGGCTCACAAGAGTGCCTGCCCCTCATGTGTTAAGTTCTTCTCAGTCCAAGACCTAGCACAGAAGAAGGGCTAATAAATGCCAGCTCCTGCCTCTTATTATTTCTATTCTCTCTGTCCATTCTTCCACGACGTGGACGTGGGCCCCGTTCTTTGCGGGAGCGAGGGTCCCTCTGAGACCCACGCCACATCCAGCAGGGATGCCTGTGGCTTCCAGGCCTCCTGCCACCACGGGCAGCTGCACCTACAGGAGCCCATCCCCACACATCACGTGATTGCTGAAAAGGGCTGCAGTGGCTCCACCAGAAGCGCCCCGTCTGACCCCAGACACCTTTTGCAAGCATTGCCCATATTCAAAGCCTGGCTCCAGAACTGCCAGTTCTAGGCAGCCTCTCAGATGCCCACCCACACTGCTCTCTCCCACCCTGGTAGGACCTACCTGCCCGAGCACGTGGCGTGCAGCACAGCCCTGTGCCCTGCTATCACCTCTGCCCTGCTCCGGGGACCAGGTCTCTCCCAGGTCTCTCTCTGGTGAGCAGAGAGCCAGGCACATGCTCCGTGCTGCCCGGCACTGACTGGGAGCTGGCAACTCATACCCCTTTGCTGGGGTTATAAACTGATGCACTCTTGCTGGAGGGTAATCTGGCCAGATCTACAAAAATATTAAATGCACATTCCTTTTGTCCTAGCAGTTCTACCTCTAGGAATTATGGGAACTTATCCTACTTGTAGGAATTTCTCCTACAGGCATCATGGCAATGGTAGGTCTCCTTTTGAAAAAACAGAAAGGAATATATACACATACATTAATGTATGACAAAAGTACCCTTCATTTATTTGTTTACCCTCAAACATTATTGGGCCCTAACTATACATCAGTTGCAGTTGCAGACAGAAGATACAGCACTGAACAAGATGTGGTTGACATTCTAGATCGCGGTGTGGGGCAAGCTACGAATAATTAAAAGGTGCGTGACCAGGTGCGCCACAGAAATGCAGGCACATCTATCCACTGAGAATGGAACTTCCTTCCCCTCCTGAGCACTTTTCTCTCTACACTTTAAACCAACACACAAACACACACGTAAATACCTAAGGCCAGACAAGTGGACTCTTTGTAATCAACATCTCTTAAGTCTGAATTTTTGTCCTCTGTGTATGTTCTCAAGTCACCAAAATCTGCCCTGTCCTCGAGTCATTTCAGAAGGTGGGGGGAGACGTGAAGAAGAAAAGGCTGAACAGCAAACACAAGCCCCGCAACACCTCTTCACCATCCGCCCTGTCCCCCGGGGCTCCAGTAGGGAGCCTTCTACTTCCCAGCCCCAGTCCAGCCTGCTCAGAGCCTGCGTTCGTCCGGCATCCAACGCCAGGCATCCGGCACCAGTAACCGGCTGTGCCCGGCCAGGGACTGTGTGAGGCATGGCAGGAATAAAGAAGATGAATGGTTCCTGTCCCCACGGAGCCCTCTCTCCAACATAGGGGACAGGCACAAGCAGTGACAACCAACACACCATGTGACTAGGGCCATCATGAGGGAACAAAAGGTATTATGGGAAGAGGGACACCCAGTCCACTTTTGGGAGTTGAGAAGTGACAGTTCAGCTATGACTTGAAGGCTAAGTAGAAGTTAGCCAGGGCAGTGAGGTGTGCTGCTGGCAGGGGACAGACACGAAACTTGCATGGCAGACTTCAGAAACTCTAAAAAGGCCAGTATGTGCACCCCTATGTTCATTGCAGCGTTATTTACAAAGCCCAGATTTGGAAGCAGCCCAAGTGTCCATCAGTAGATGAGTGGGTAAAAAGCTGTGGTACATTTACACAATGGAATGCTACTCGGCTGTAAAAAAAGAAGGAAATCTTACCTTTTGCGACAGCATGGATGGACCTGGAGAGCATTATGCTAAGTGAAATAAGCCAATCAGAAAAAGATAAATACCATATGATTTCACTTATATGTGGAATCTAATGAACAAAATACACCAACAAACAAAATAGAAATAGACTCCAAGATAGAGATCAGACTAACAGCTGTCAGAAGGGAAGGGGATTGTGGGTCTGGGTTAAAACAGTGAAGGGATTAAGCAAAGGCAAAAAACTCATAGACACAGACTACAGTATGGTGATCATCGCAGGGAAAGGGGGCAGGGGAGGGAGAAGAGGGTAAAGGCAGAAATGGAAGGAGACTTGACTTGGGGTGGGGAACACACAACACAATATAAAGACGACGCACTATAGAATTGTATACCTAAAACCTGTCTTATTTTATTAACCAATGTCACTGCACTAAATTCAATAAAAATTTGTTGAAAAGAGCATATAGAAGACATCATAAAGAAAACTAAAAAAATGAAAAGGCCAGTATGGGCACATCAAAATGTTACAAAGGTAATTTCAGCTCTAATGTGGAGACCTGATGGCTGGGGAAGGGGGGGTGGGTAGGATGGCAAAGCCAGAGGCCGAGAGAACCAGCTGGGAAGGAGGCAGTCCCAGAAACCTCACCAGCCCGGGCCAGGGTCCGGCCGGGGCAGGGAAGGGATGAGAGAATTTGAGGCAATGCGGAGGGACTGGTGACACCAGTAACTTCTGCCTGTGGGGAAAGAAAGTGGAGAATCTCAGTCGGCCCACTCTGCTCTGCTGTCCCCTTCCCAGCTCTCCTGGCACAGAAAGGAGGAAAGAGAACCAGAAACAGGTGGTTGATGTGTCCCAAGGCGGTGGAATCCCACGGAAAGCGGAAGTGCTGGTGGCCAGTCCTCCCACCCAGCAAATGCCAACAGCCACCACTGCCTGCTCTGCAAGTGCCACGCGGCTGGCAGGTAAGTCTGGGATCTGGAAGTTCTCTGCTCGCCAGATCCACCCACTGCCACTTCCTCCGGCCAGACGGTGGGATCGCCCAGGAGCCCAGAGCCGCTCTGAGACATGGCTGCCGCCTCTTCTCCGGCTGTTCCCTCTCCAGCCAGGTGGCATCTCCAAGGCCTCCTGAGGAGCAGCTCAGTCCTCCCAGGAACCGATGCCCCTCTGTGTCCCTCTGCTGACCTTTCTGTACCAGCCCACAGGCGGGGTCTTCTGGCCCCACATCTCCCGCACTCCGCTTTCCCAACCTCTGGGATGAGTCCCCACGGACCCTTCACAGCCCCCTGTGAGGCTGGAAGTGGGGACGGGTCAGCTCCACACTTCCTCCGCTGCCACCTCTCTCACCGCTTCTGTCGCTGCTCCTACCTAAGCGTCCAATTCAGACTCCCCCAGGAGCGTCCCCCATCAAGGAGATCCCCTTCCAGAAGCACCACGGCCACCGGCAGAGTCACATCGTGTAGAGTTCTCTGTGGCCTCCTGTGCACACAGCCTCCTCTGTTAGCCTGGAAGTTTCTGAAGAGTGGCAACCACACTACCTACTTCTTGGAATCCCCCAACCTGGCAGAGTCCTGCTCAACAGCAGACTGATCTACACCACCTCCCTGCTGCAGTCTGTGGGTGCCTCCTGGTAGGACCCCACAACCAGCCGTCTCTTCTGCCTTTCCACACACACCTACTGAGCCCTGACTGCACAGCAGGTCCCGTGCTAAGAGCAGCTGTGCTGTTATTTGGAGAAAAGATATTCAGATTTCACCAGAAAAGCTGGGCATAGCCTGGACCTTAAAGAATCTCACAGAGATCACACTTCTGTAAGTGCAAAGTGCCCCAATCAAAGGAGTGTAAAAAGAGGTGCTGCTGATGGGAGTGGAAACGTGGGGTAACCTGGTAAAACCAATCACCATTTTATAAACACATCTATTCTACTGTTCTGCCAGTCTAATCTGCTTAGAGTCATGTGGAGCTATATGGACATTCACTGCAGCCATTTCTGATGGAGAAAAACCGGAAATAAGCCAAAGGCCATTAACAGGGTCAAACTAAGTAAGCCATGATGCAAGCACCCGGTGGATCAGAGTTGTCAAATATAAGAGCTCTCTGTGCTGATATGAAAGGAACACTAAGACACAAGTATGTGAAAAAAGTCACACAATGATCCTTACACATATAGAGCTGAACTCCACTTATAGCAATAATAGTCGGGGAGAAGAGTAGAAAAAGAACAAGGGGGACCCTTCCCCTTTCACTTCTACATATATGTATACACACTTCTAAGATCTTTGAGTTTTTACTAATGTAACAGAAAAAAGTACAAAGTAAGTGATGCTAGAGCCAAGAAAGGAACAGACTAACTGGGTGCTACCCACAAGTTCCTCTCAAACTCCAAAAAGGCCACTAAGTGAGGGAATAAACACATCTTTTCTCTCTAGTCTCAAAGATGAGAAGGTGGTGTGGAAGGTGCTGTGGGGTGCACTGGCATGAAGTCCCAGGGGCCAAGGCTCAAGCCCAGCTCCCCTGTGCCCGCTTGGATAACCCTGGGAGGCCACGGAGCTTCCTCAGTTTACCCATTTGTACTGGAAGGCAGAGAGGAACAGAATGTGGACTTAAAAGACCACAAACCAGGCCTGTGACCCTCTCGAAGCCTCCATTTCCTCTTATTATCATTTATTTTTTAAAAAGCCGCAGAGGGAATAATATAATTTACTCTGCCAGGATGTTGCAGGGATTAAATGATACACTGTAGCTAAAGTGCTTAACGGTGGTCCTGGCTGGTGTGACTCAGTGGATTGGACGCTGGCCTGGCTTGTGGGCCAGGTCCCCAGTTGGGGGAGGAGTCCAAGGGGCAACCAATTGATGTTTCTCTCTCCATCGATGTTTCTCTCCCTCTCTTTCTCCCTCCCTTCCCTCCCCTCTCTCTAAAAGGAAATAAATAAAATCTTTTAAAAAATAAAGAAAGTGCTTAATACAGTGCCTGATACATAACACATGCTCATTAAACAGCAGCTGCTATATTATTGCTGAGTGAGAGCAGTAACACTGGCTCTGCCTCCGTAACGGGGATACTGGGAAAACTAAATGAGCTGTACGCCAGGGAAGAGCACAGAATAGAGAGTGGGATGCAAAAATGAGGGGCACTTACGTAAGGATTGCCTCCCACTTCAACGCCAAGCCTCAGCTCCCAAACAGCTAAGATCCCTAGTGGGGCGGAAGAATTGTGGGATGCTGTCCCTACTCATCCTACGGACAAAATCCTAATCAGTTACTGATTTGGGTCCCCACCTTAACTAAGTAGGAAACAGCAAATCAGAAGGAGAAAGATGGGCCCATAGAAGCAGACACTGATGTCTGCTAATAACAGCCCAGCCGAGGACCCCTCAGACTCCTCTCAGCCTGTTACTGGATCCCTTCAGTCCCTCACGATTCTGATGTCCCGGCTCCTCGGGACACCCTGCAAATGGATCCACACTTCTCAAGGTCACAAAACCCAGCCCAGCTCCTCAGGCTCTTCCAAACATCATCTCAGGGTACAGCCAGCCCTCTTCCAAGCTACGCCACAAACCATAGGATCCTTTTTTCCCAGAAACTTTCACAAGCCCGCGTCCCCTCACGATCCTTCTTAGATGCTTCCTTCCGATGCCTTCCTGCTGTACAAAATGCTTTCCCTGCCATCCCCCAGGTACCCTCCGGGTTCCTCCTCACTGTCCCCATCCCAGGTCCCCTGGTCTTCCTCGTTGGACACGCCTGACACGCTCCCGCCCCGCCCACTCCAGTTCAGGGTTCTCCACCTGCCGCCGTACACACATCCATGCCCCCTCTTCTCCACACCCCCACACTGGAGTTTCTGCTCTTAAGCTCTTCCACACAGGCTCCTGGGGCATGTCCTTGAGACCCCTTCCCTGCAACACGGCAGCCGCCCATGCCAGGGCTCCCCAAAGTTTCTTCCTGCGCGGGGAGGGCACACACCATCATCCTGGAACCCCTCGAGGTCCTCCTGTTATCCCCGGGGTCCTCGCACAGCCATCTGTCAGTTACCTCCGTCCAGACACTCCAAAATGCACCCCGTGTCCCAGGCTCCAGTGACTTCCTCTCCCTACTCAGGCCTGGTCCCGGCCGGAACGCTCTCGCCTTCGGGGGTCCCAAGTCTCCCCCCCACCCCGCCGCGCCACGCTCCGAAAAGCTCCGACGCCCCATCTGCCCCCCATAGCTCGTCAGCCTGCACCTCCCACCCGCGTCTCGTCGGACGGGGGAGAGCGTCACTCGGCACCCGCCGAGATTCTCCTCGGTCCCACACAAGCCCCTCCAACAACTCTCAGCACCCTCGGCTGAGTTCTCCTGGGCTCCCTCCAGGCCTCCAGGCTACTCTCGGGAATCCGCCATCCAGTCCGCTCACTCTTGCCACTTCCAGCGGGTCCTGGTCCTCTGAGCCCGTTCTCTCCGCCGGCCGCGGCCGGGCCCTCCCGCCCCTGGGCGCCCCGCCCGCCTCGAGACGCCCCGGTGCCCCCAGGACCCTCTTCGGACGGCCCCTTACTCCAGCTCCCGGCCGGTCGCGGCCCCCTCCCGCCCCCCCCCCGGCCGTCCCGGCGGCCATTGCTCCAAGATGGCGGCGGCGGCGGCGGCGGGTGAGGCCGGGTCGGGCCGAGCGGGGGGTCGGGGGGTCGAGGGGTCGGGGGTCCGAGGCGGCGCTCACCTGCAACTCGGCGCGCTCGGCTTCCCAGCGAGCTTTCTCCGCCTCGAAGCGCGCCCACTCGTGCTGTATAAAGTGCAGGATCCCAGGCAGGCTCAGGGGCTCCGGTCCCGCTGTGGGCCCGGGGCTGCCCCCGCCGCCGCCTCCCTTAGCAGCCGGGCCGGGCCCGGGGGCGGGGGCAGAGACCGGGACCGCCCCCGTCGGGCCCGGGCCCGCGCCCGAGCCAAGTGGGCGGCAGGAGGAGGCAGCGGCGGCGACGGCGGCGGCCGCTCGCTCCTCCATCATGGAGGCCCCGGGCCGGCCCGCGCGCCCGCTGTGCCTCGCGCGCCTGCGCGGCCGCGCCAACCCCCCGCGCGCGTGCTCGGCGGGGGCCGGGTTGGGGGGGCGGTGACGGGAACGAGGCCGGGCGCGCGCCTCGCCCACCCGGGTCGACCCCGAAAGTGCGCGCACGGGTGGGTGGGAAAGGGAGGGGAAAAAAGGGGAGGGGGCGCGCTCCCCGAAGAGGGAGAGCGGGACGTTGGGGAGGGGCAGCTTTCTGCCCTCCTCCCACTTTGCCCCCAAAAGAAAGATTCTAACCCGCCCCAGACCCAATACCACTCTCTTCAACCGTCGCTGTCACTCTGAAATAAAGGGCGACCAGCAGGGGTGGTTTCAGCCGGAGCCCCATCCTCCCTGATTCCTGGCCCAAGTCCGTTGCCATGGTAACCTCTCCCCAGCCTAGAACACCCCCAGGCTCCTCTCCCCTACACTTTTGTGTTTATGGAGCCCCAAACCTCTCCTGTCCCTTGCACCAGGAGGAGGTTACTAAGGCAACCTAAGTCCCTGGTGGTCCTTTTGTCTCTACCCTCACTGGTTACTATGGCAACCCCACCTAGCACTCAGGTAGAAAGAACCCCAGCCCCAAGGACACTGATTATTGAGGGAAACACCTCTTTCCCAACCCATCCCCCCAGCCACCCAGTTGGCATTACCATGGTAACCATCTCCCCTCCTTTCCAATGGTGGGAGGTCCACGCACCAAACCAACCAGGTATTTTTATTTAGAGGAGAAGATGCTCCGCTGAGGAGTAGTTGCTATGGTTACATGGCCTGACCATCCCCAGGAAGGTGAGACACAGGCAAGGCCAAGTCCTGGTTACTATGGTAACACAGCAGCTACCCGCCCCCTACCAGTGATCATAGGAACCAGATCCAAAAAGGTAGGGGACTGTTTAGAATTGTCCCTCAGCATGGAGTGTGTCTAGGGAAGTGGTTGTTATGGTTATAGCTTCTGTCACTTCTAGCTGTACCTTCCTGGACACAGTTAGGAGAGAGGGATGGCTATAGGTTGCTGTGATAACTGACGTCCTTCCCACCCATTCCTGAGATGCTCCAGGTAATGTCTGAATTTATGGGACTTCAAGAGAAACGATTCCCTGGCCCTATGGCCACTTTTGTAGGAAAGATGAAATTGTGTTCTACTATACAGAATTGGCTGATTTGGGGTTTTCTGGTTCTCCTTCCTCAGCAGTGCAGCTGAGCTGGATTGAAACTGCCCCCTGGTGCTCCCCCAGCCTGCAACGTAGGAGGTAAGAAGTCTCTCTGCATCTCCAGCATTCATGTGGACACTGCCCTTTCCTTGTCCCCAAAGCCTTCCCCACGTGTCTCATCTTCCCTACCTGTCACATTCCCATCCTACAGATAAGGCAGCTGTGGCTCGGGCCAGGTCAGGGCTCAGACCAGGTGAGCCAGGCCTCAAGGGAGTCTGGATCCACTCACACTGTTGTGTGGGGCAAGGAGAGACAAAGTCTCATCTCGTCTTCTCCTTCCCTGACCACCTTTTCTAAAACAAGCCCCTGTTTTCGCTCGTCACGCCTCTGCTGCTTTCTCTTCCCATTGGTATAGTGCCTTCCTGCCTCTGCAGGTCCCGCGCAGGGACTGCCTCGTTCATCCCCTGCCTCTGGAACACAAGGTCACTCAGTAAATAGCACGGAGGAAACTCAATAAATAGCTCTGTTGAGTTAGTGGGTTGAATTCATTAACGTGCCATATTCAGCTTTGAAAGCACCAGTCAGGTTAGAGCCGGGGAAGGCTCGGGGAAGGTAGGCCCGAGGGAGACAGCAGAATTGACTGACTGGGTTAGAGCGCAAATCTGGAGAGAGCTCCTTGGGTCAAACCCCAGGTCCATCCCTTTCCAACTGTGTGACGTTGAGCAAGGGACTTCACCTCTTTGTGTCTCATCTTCATTTTTAAATGTAGTCATAGCTAAATGATTAAACAAGTTAATATGTGTAAAGTACTTAGAAGAGGGTCTGCCACATTGTGAGCACCTAGAACATTCAGACCTTCAAAAATCATCGTTTCATCCACCTTGCCTCCCTGAAGGGGTTTTGAGCCCTTACAGTGAAGGAAGCCAAGGCTGAACTTTGTCAGGGTTCTAGATGATTCCTTTCTCCGTCCTCTGTGGTCTCTCACTCAGTAGGTGGCACCTCCTCGTCAATCCAGCATACCCTCTGGTCTCTGAGGACCCAGTCTCTGTCCTGTCCTGCTGGGTACCTCCTGGCCCAGAGCGGCCAGGCAAAGCGTGGCAAGAGCCGGGGCCTGGAGGGTGGCGACCTGGGTTCTGGCACCTGCACCCTTAAGTCTCTGAGCCACAGTTACCTTATCTGAACAGCTGGGGTCACTCGTTCATTAACACACATTTATTCAGCACTGGCTATGTGCCAGGAAACAGACAAAACAATAAGCAAGATAAGTAAAATCTGTGTGGTAACCACCAGGGGAGAAAAATAACTCAGGGATATTTTTAACTAGGGTGGCCAAAGGAAGAGCTCACTGGACAGGTAACATCTGAGCAAAAACCTGAAGGCCATAGGGAGGAGCATCCGGGCAGAGGGAACAGCCAGTGCTGGGCCAGGAGAGGCCTGGGTTTATCTGAAGAATGGCACTCGGTGGCCGGTGCGGCTGGAGCCGAGTGAGCGAGTGGAAGAGGGCGGGAGAGCCCACGGGGCCTCGTGGGCTGCCACGAAGGCTTTTCCTTGGAGTGATTTCAAGCCACCGCAGGGTTCGAGCAGACACAGGACAGGATCTAATTCAAGTTCTAACAGGGTCCCCCTGGGCTCTGAGTGGGGAACAGGTGGTAGGAGACAAGGGTGGAGTGAGGATGACATCTTTAGAAGATTGTAAAAGCATCTCCCGTGCTTCTGTGTACCAAAACTCTCAGATCCTAAGATGTGTAAGACTGAAGAGTCTGCTTCCAAGAGTTTCTTCCGCCCACAATAATATGAGTTCCATGAGGTCACAAGTGTTGCATGTCTCTGCGTGTTGGGTGTCCCCTGCTGTGACCCCAAGCACTTAACACAGTCCCTGACATGTTGCAGGAGAGTTCAGCAAGCAGATGTTGAAGGACTGAAGGAGGGAGGGATCCATCTAAGGTCCAGAAGCAATTCCAAGGTTCTGAAGATTAAGAAATTCTTAAAGTGCAGCTCTGATTCTTAAGTGACATCCAGGTTGGGTCAGAAAAGGGCAGGCAGCACTGGGGCAGGTGGAGAGGGGTGGGAAGCTATTCCTGGCAGGAGAGAGAAGGGGAGAAAGGAAGACCAGCGCAGCGCCCCAGTCACGGCCCGCAATGCGGAGTTTGGCCCCGGGGGTCTGAGTGGGCTTTACAGACACACAGAAACCCTGATCCTGGCCATCGTTGCTTTCACCAGGTGCGTTTTCAGTGCCCAACTGTGCGCCAGGAACACAGTGGTAACGGAGCCAGCCCTGCCTCTACCTCCTGGGTCTAGTAGGGCAGACAGACCCATCCCCAGACAGTGATGAACCGGGATGGGCAGCGCTGAGATGGGGGAGTCCAGAGGGGTCTTCTGACCCAGCCTGGGGTTCAGGGAGGGCTTCCTAGAGGAGGGGCCATCTGAGCGGTGCCCTGAAGCATAAGCAGGAGTTCTCCAGCTGAAAACAGGCATGGGGAAAGGGACTTTGGAGAGGAGGCTCTTCGAAGCAGAAGGAACAGGATATGAAAAGGACTAGAAATACGGTTTATTTGAGGAAAAGCCCAAGGTGGCCTAGGCGTAGGGTTTGAGGAGGCATGGCCAGAGATGGGACTGGAGCAGTGGGTGGGCCAGGGCCCTGTCACACAAGGCCCTGTGGGATGTTGGAAGAAACTTAAGCTCTCTCTCTAGGGCACTGAGGAGCGCCTGAGCAGGGAGGGAGAGGTCATATTTGTGCTGTATGAAGACCCCTCTGGCTGCCACAGAGGTGGACCTGGTTAGGAGACTAGGGCAGGCTTGGATGGACCCAGGCAGAGCGGGGAGGCTGGAGAAATGGGGAAGGAGGCCCAGAAGTATGTCGGAGCTAGGAAGTTTGGCTGGGTGTCTGATGTCCCCCTCCCGGGGAGGAGCGGAAACCTATGAAAATCCATGGGGAACTTTTTTGAATTTCTGCTCGGAAGCCAGAGAGTTAGTTACACCTCCGGGGCTGGAGACCAGCCAAATTTTCTAGCTGCACTGGGGACAGGGAGACAGCGCCATCTGGGGGTTGCTTAGGAGTGTGGCTGATGACTTTGTGGGGAGAGTCCTAGCAGCCTCTTTCAATGCAGCCCGTTCCACTTAAAACAACAACAACGAAATACTTATTGCGATAAAACTCATGTAACAAAATTTATCATCTTCACAAGTTTAAGTGTATAGTTTAGTAGCATTAAGAATTATTCACATTTTATGCAAACAATCTCCAGAATTTTTTCATCTTGCAAAATTGCCACTCTAAACCCATTAAATGACTCCCCGTTTCCCCCTCCTCACAGCCCCTGGCGGCCACCGCTCTACTTCCTGTTTCCATTTACCAAACAAAAAACTAGCAGCCAAAATAAAAATTGGGGTAATTCTGATTTAAGAAAGCATTTCTAACTTTTCTTGTAAAACCAAAACAATCAGGAACGAGACAGCAGGATGACACAGAATTTGAGGAAGTGAGGCGGGTGCAGCGGGGGAGGGGTCTGGGGGCCAAGTCAGGGGCATGCTGTGGAAGGGGCCAGAGAGAGGTCGGGTGGCGTCCCGGAGGGAGGGGTGGTGGGGCAGAAGGTGCAAGTTGGGCTTGGAATGGGGTCCTGGGCATTTATAACCGGATGAGAAGTTGACAATGAATAGAAGGACAGGATTGAACATGGTAAAAACTCACTGAGTCCCTGATGAGTACCTGAGTCTGTGCTGAGTGGCCTTGGGGACCCAGCAGTGACCGAGATAGGCTCCTCATGGGTCTCACAAATGGGAGGACAAGACAGATCCCTACACAGTAATAATGGAGACTGGTGGGGCTAGGGTGGGGAAGTGGGGGGGAACGGGCACTGAAGGAGTCCAGAATGGGGTGCATGCCCCAGCCTGGGAGGTCAGGAAGGGCTTCCTGGAGGAGGGAAAGTCAGAGCTGAAACCAAAGAGGGAAACAGCTGGGAGAGAAGGGCAAGGCCGAGGATGGGCTGGAGGGGTTGCTAACGACCAGCTCCAGCCTCCCTCCGCTTTCCTTCCCGCCTCCCCAGGGTGTCCGGAGGCCCAGTTAGGGCCTGACTTCGGCCCCATGCGGCTCACCCGCTGCCAGGCGGCCCTGGCAGCCGCCATTACCGTCAACCTCCTGGTCCTCTTCTACGTCTCGTGGCTACAGCAACAGCCCAGGAACGCCCGGGCCCGGGGCCCCCGCCGCGGATCTGCCGCCGGCCCTCATGTCACCGTCCTGGTGCGGGAGTTCGAGGCCTTTGACAATGCGGTGCCCGAGCTGGTGGACTCTTTCTTGCAGCAGGACCCAGCCCAGCCGGTGGTGGTGGCAGCCGACGTACTCCCCTACCCGCCCCTGGCCCTGCCCCGCGTCCCCAATGTTCGCCTGGCACTGCTCCAGCCCGCCCTGGACCAGCCCGCTGCGGCCTCGCGCCCCGAGACCTATGTAGCCACTGAGTACGTGGCCCTGGTGCCGGACGGGGCGCGGGCTGAGGCACCAGGCCAGCTGGAGCGCATGGTAGAAGTGCTCCGGGCGGGAGGCGCACGCCTGGTGGCCGCCCCCGTTGCCTCAGCCAACCCTGCCCGGTGCCTGGCCCTGAATGTCAGCCTGCGGGAGTGGACAGCGCGGTACGGCCCGGCCCTCTCCCCACAGCGCTGCGACGCCTTGGAAGGGGACGCTGTGGTGCTCCTGCGCGCGAGAGACCTCTTCAACCTCTCGGCGCCCCTGGCCCGGCCGGTAGGCACCAGCCTCTTCCTGCAGACGGCCCTGCGTGGCTGGGCAGTGCAACTGTTGGACTTCACCTTCCCTGTGGCGCACCAGCCCCCACTGACCACCGCCCATGCGCGCTGGAAGGCGGAGCGCGAAGGACGCACACGGCAGGCTGCGCTGCTGCGGGCGCTGGGCATCCGCCTAGTGAGTAGGGAGGGCGGGCGCCTGGAGTGGTTTGGTTGCAGCAAAGAGACCCCTCGCTGCTTCGGGACCGTGGTGGGCGACACACCTGCCTATCTATATGAGGGGCGCTGGACACCCCCATGCTGCCTGCGCGCGCTGCGCGAGACAGCCCGCTACGTGGTGGGCGTCCTGGAGGCAGCCGGAGTGCGCTACTGGCTGGAGGGCGGCTCCCTGCTCGGGGCTGCCCGCCACGGGGATATCATCCCGTGGGACTACGACGTGGACCTGGGCATCTACTTGGAGGACGTGGCCAATTGCGAGCAGCTACGGGGGGCCGATGCTGGCTCAGTGGTGGATGAGCGCGGCTTTGTGTGGGAGAAGGCCATAGAGGGCGATTTCTTCCGCGTGCAGTACAGTGAGAGCAACCACTTGCACGTGGACCTGTGGCCCTTCTACCCCCGTAATGGGGTCATGACCAAGGACACGTGGCTGGATCACCGGCAGGATGTTGAGTTCCCCGAACATTTCCTTCAGCCCCTCGTGCCCCTGCCCTTCGCCGGCTTCATGGCACTGGCGCCTAACAACTACCGCCGCTTTCTGGAGCTCAAGTTTGGCCCCGGGGTCATCGAGAACCCTGAGTACCCCAACCCGGCCCTCCTGAGTTTCACAGGAAGTGGCTGAAGCCCTGACTCCCGCGCCTGGGGTCAGAGGAACTGTCCTTTGTTTTGGTGTCACTGGCATTTGGTAAGGGGCCAGGAACGCCAAGCTGCCCTGCAGGGCCCAGTGCAGACCGGGACAGCCAAGTCGTGCCCTGCCCAAGATTTCCAGGAACCTTGGGCTGGGACAGAGTTTTGGAAAGAGGAGGAGAAAGAGTGTAGGCTCTGAGGCCAAACTGTCGCGTTTCAAGCCCGGGCTCCACCATTTAACTAGTTACAGGGCCCTGAGCGAGCTTCCCGGTTTGTTTTCTCCATTCCTCGGTTCCCACCGGGATCCAGTGAGTGCCCTCGGTATCCCGCACAGAAGGAGCCCCTGCGACCCTTGGCTGCGGGGGTTGCTTCTACCACTAGAGGGCGCCTTCACCCTACAATGGGGCCAAGGGGACAGGAAGCCCAGGACTTCTGTTCCATAACTTTTTTTTGTCTCTTGAGCCTTTGGTCTTCTCTCTAAGCCCCTGTGCCTGGCGGGACAGGATAACTATCTCTCCCTCTTCCAGAATGCGACCTCCTTCCCTCCTGGGAGAGCCCTGTGTGGTGCATGCTGCCGTTAGCCCCATGTTGCGGAGGAGGAAACAGACTCAGAGCTCTGAGGTGCAGCTGTAGTTGAGAGCAGGGTTCGGGATCCAGGCCCCCTCCCTTTTAACTGTTACCTCATTATTTTAGCTCTCCGCACCGGTTTCCCTGCTTGCACAGTGGGGTCAACAGTAATTGCTGCTGACAAGTACTGAGCACTTACCGTGTCCCAGGCATTGTCCCCAGTGTTTCACGCAGATTTGCTGATCTGTCCTTCTCCTCCACCTCCCATATGAGAGCTGCTATTATTTCTATTTACAGGTGAGGAGAATGAGGCCAGAATGGTAAAGTCACTTGCCCAAGGCCAGACAGCTTAGGAAGTGGCCGAGGGGGAAACTGAACCCAGGCTGTCCGTCGGGAGCCCACACTGACGAGGCCCCGGGTGCCCCCTCCAGCTCTGGTGCCCCAGAGGGTCTCTTGTCACTGAGCACAGAAGGCAATGGCTGCCTTTGTGTGTGTGTGTGTGTGTGTGTGTGATCATGCACCTAAGAATAAATCCTGTTTGGGCATTACCCCAATATGTGTATTTATCAATTATATACAGGTACTACTGTCATTCTGTATGAGTAATAAGGCTTAAATTATTTCACTTTTAAGTTAAAAATCAATACAGAAGTTTTGTGTACTTGCCTCATGCCAACAGCTTGTCACACACACCCTCCGGGTGTGTGCACCTGGTTTTTGAAACCACAGGCTCTGAAGTGGGAGACCTGGGTTCACACCCCAGTGCTGCCGCTTTCTGCCCCCATGAGCCAGGCCCTGGCGCCTCTGCCTCTCTGTACTTGTGCTTCGCACCTGGGAAACGGGGGCACTGGGCGCGCCCGCCCCACAGGGGTGCTCTGAGGGACTGTGGTGGTGAACGGGCTGCGCTGGATTCTGGCTTGGCCACCTAGTTTCTTTGGAACCTTAGGCAAGTCACTGTCCCTCTGAGCCTATAGATTAGGTGGGGGGGGATTGACGTGTGAAGCCCTTATAGAAGGACCAGCAAGAAAAGGCAAGTACAAATTTGACCCAATCTCCTGAGGCTTAGATGTCCAAAGCCTGACTTATAATGCAGCCTCTGTTCTTAAAGCACAACTAGATTGCAGAGAGGTTGTTGGGTTCCCATCTGTCTAGCCTTCTGGAAGCATGGTGATGATTTGGGCCATCGCTTGTGGTTAGGAGGTGCTCTTGGTTCTTGGAAGGCATGGCCCATGGATGGAGGATGTCTTACTTACATGGGCATTTCACACAGTAGTGTCCCTTGTCACATACCATCCTCAGATGTCCCCCTGGACATTCGTGAAGTGCAGATGATGTTCAAAATATTTTGCAATTGGTGTGGCAATACAAAGTAATATATAAATCAATATGTGCATCTGAAATTTTTAATGTTTCTTTTTAATTCTCAGCATAATGAAAATGATCTATCTATAGATTGATAATTCTTTAAGTTATTTGCCAAGAACATAAGTTAAACCTCAACTCATTCTTAAATTATTTAATGATTTAATTTCATTTAGAAATTGGTGTGATTTCTCAATTGACGCATCTATATATGTATATACATAAGATAACATTTCATATATATATGTACATATATGTATATATTTTGCCTTAGCTGTGATTTGATAAGGGAACCACTTTAAATGCTTCTAGCAACTTCCCATAAAATTTTGAATCATTAGGTGACTTAAGATTTCAATAGATAAAGAATTTCTTGGTATCAACTGTAGTGTTTTGGTGTTTTTTTACTCTCATTGCTGTTTCTGAACTAACAGCACTTACATTAAAAATTTTTCTAGCCCTGAGAATAAAATATTAAAAAAATTGAAAAACCAAAAACAGAAAAACTTTCCTAACCCTTATATCATCTGATAGTTTTGCATAGTCAATATCTTTATTATGAACTACGTAATGATGGGATAGAAAACCCATGACAGCAACTGGCTTGAACTAATGAGCTTATATTACTATTTGTATTATTAAATCTCACTGCTTTCTCAATTGTTCTCATACTATTAGTCAGCCAGAACAGAGGTATTTCAATATTTTAACCAGCACATCCATACTCGTTCATACTAAGTAAATTTTAGCCTTCCTTGGAAAAACCTGGTTAAGAATTATGCAAGCCCAGAACCTAACTCTCTTTTCATGCAAACACAAAGTCCTTTTTGTAAGGTTTTAATAAGTTACGAATTTTCCAGGAAGCGCAACTTCCATGTAAAATGAGGGAAGCTTGTATCGTGTTTTGTTCTAAACTTGGCCGAAGAGTGTCAATAAGTTGAGAAAATCACATTCCACCTGGCTTTCAGTAATTAGACACCAATACCACGTTTGCAGCCTTGCCAGGAGCGACCTACATTACAGGTGTAAACATGGGCTGCCTCCCTCAGATCTGGGGAGATGGCCCCACACACTCCCATAGTGATATGCAGGTTATAAATAACTGTCCTTTTACTTCTCCTTTTTATTGCAATTAGGACAATATAATGATTGTTTTCTTTTTTAAGGTTTTATTTATTTAGAAAGAGGGGAAGGGAGAGAGAAAGATGGGGAGAGAAATACCAATGTGGGAGAGAAGGTTGTCTCTTATACGCCCCCAGTGGGGGACCTGGCCTTCACAGGCATGTGCCCCGACTGGGAATCGAACCAGCGACCTTCAGGTTTGCAGGCCGGCACTCAGTCCACTGAGCCACACCGGCCAGAGCTAGCAATTGCTTTTAAAATCCCATGCAGTTGGGTTATATTACCTGTGAAGTTTATTTCAGGGGAGCCAAGAGGACTTTCCCAGAGCCAACATTCAAGCCAACACATGCTCTGGTGTAGCCAATGCAGGGGGTTGAGACACAAAAACACTAAGTTATGGATTATTAATCCATTGGCAAGATGGTCACCGCCACAAGTCCCCTATTATTGCCCTCCTGGCTCTCTCTGGGGTCCCCTGGACCTTCTCTTGACCTAGTAGCCACAGGATTAACACGGGACACAATGGGAGGGAAGGGGGCCCATGTCCCAGGTGCTGCTGGATGGGACAATGCACTTACCAAGTTTTATATATGTTGTATGTTGCCCCATAGAAAATATATGCTGTGGAAAGTGGACAGCAAAGACCTGTGTTCAAGTGCACCTTTATGCTCGACAGCCCCAAACTGAAAACCACCATTAACAGGTGGGTACATCCAGACAACGGAATATGCCTCAGTGATTAAAATAGAGGGGAAAGAGGAATGCACTGTGGATCCCATGCAAAAACAACTAACTCCCAAAAGCATCATGCTAAGTAACAGACAACAGATGCAAAAAGCTACCTACCGTGATTCCACTGATGTGAAGTCCTAGTCCTTAGCGACCCGCGGCAGAGCAGCGTTGCCTGGGCCTGGGGGTGGAGGGAGGGAAGCCTGCAAAGGGGCCCGAGGAAACGTGGGGCGGTGGGGACGGCGTGTGTCTTGGTGGTGGTGGATTTTCACAAATGATGCATCTGTCAAAACTCATCCACTTGTTTGTTTTAATGGATTCGGTTTACTGTGCATAGTTAATTTTTTTAAATATTTATTTTTAGAGAGAGGGGAAGGGAAGGAGAAAGAGAGGGAGAGAAACATCAATGTATGGTTGCCTCTCGCCTGCCCCCCTACTGGGCCCACAACCCAGGCATGTGCCCTGACTGGGAATCGAACCAGTGACTGTTTGATTCCCAGGCCAGCACTCAGTCCACTGAGCCACACCAGCCAGGGCCTGTGTGTAGTTTATATTTCAATAAGGTTGACTTGCAAAAAGCAGGTGTGAGAATCCAACAGGCCTAGAAATATTGTCACCAGGAGCAACAAGGCTGAGTCATTTCCTTGTGCTTGCTTGCCGACCCCACCCCCCCACCCCCATCCTAGGCTGGCACCCTGAGCCTAGAACCCAGGTCCCCAGTTCAATCCAGGGCCAGCCTGAGCCCTCTCTCCCAGGCCAGGCTCTGTAGAAGGAGCAGGAGGGCTGTCCCAACAGTGAGAGGGTGGAGCAGTGGAGGAAAGGAGCGGGTGGCAGCCCGGCCGTGGGACTAGCTGCCCAGGTGCTTTTCATTCTTTCGTAACCTTCACCTTCAGGTGGGGCATAACAGCCATTGCCAAGCCGAGTGAAACTCGGCAGTGCTTGCCGCAGGTTACAGAGTTGGCACGTAGCAGGAGAGGGATCTGAACCAGCCTGTTATAGCTGGGCAGCTCTAACTGAAGCCCAATCTATTGAGTGCCCACTATGCGCCAGGTTCTATGCTGTGCGCTGGGCCTATGGCAGTGAACGGGCCTCAGGCTGCTCCCTCCTGCCACGCACATCCCAGGGGCGACCAGGTCTGCGAGTCGCCTAAGCGCCTGTCCGCACCCAGTAGGCTTGAGATGGTTCCAGTCGTTCTATATGGCCTAGATCAGCATTTTAGGCAAATTAGTGGCATGTGCTCAGTAAAAAAAATGGAACAAAAAAGTGGCTAAAGCACTGTTCGATGGAACTTGGCCCAGTTACATATTCTTTGTACATACACATACTGTATATGAAGATAGTATATGCAAAAAAAAAAGCATTAATTAGAAAATTTGGGGGTAAACAATGATTTTAAGCAAGGATAATAATGCATTGACTCCGAGCTCCCTTCAAAAACTTCACCGATTTCCCCAGATATCATTAAGACACTCTTAAACACCTCTGTAACCACCCACCAAGGATTTTGTCATAATAGAAAGCATTGGGGGAAAAAACCAAAGCAATTACTTAACTATTCGACACTTAATGAACTCATTAGTTGACTATATTTGTATGCAAAACACAAGTTTGCACAGAATCAGATAGGAGTTATATTTCCACACTGCAACAGTCTTGACGGTAACTTAACTGAAAAAAAAAAAAAAAGATGCCGAAGGTAATCAAGATACTACCTATCGCACCCAGACTGGAGGAGCCTCCAGGCACCCGGCAGAAGTCTGCACAGGGACCTGGGGAGGTAACATCAGCAACACCTAACATGCTCCAGTAGCAAGCAAGCCAGGATCCTGTTAGAATGCGCAAGCCACAACTGGTATCATCCACATCCTAGACTCGCATGGGACTTAAAATAGTTGCACAGCAGGTTTTTGATTCAAATAGCAAATTTTGGGTTAAAAGGGAAAAAAAAGAACAGGGGCTTATGGGGACTATTTGCAGTGAGAGTTCAGATACCGAGGGTACCTGCATTCTGCTGCCGGCGGCTACCATGGAGTTTCTTACGAGCTGTACATGTTTAACCGGAAGAGAATATACGTAGGGTAAAATGCACACAGCTTAAGTGTACGGGTTAACTAATTTTTCCAGATGTTTGCATCTGTGTAAGCATCACCCATATCAAGACACGGAACATTTGCTGTCTCAACAGAAGTTCCCCTGTGCCCCCTCCCAGTACATAAGCACCCCAATAGGCTACCCGCTGTTCTGATTTCTCTCACCATAAACCTGCTTAGCCTGGCCTAGGCCTTCCTATATATGGAGCTCTACAGTATGTACTGTTTCTGGCCTCTTTCACTCAAAGTATTACCTGTGAGATGCCTCCAAGTTCAGTACAGTTGATCCTTGAATAACACAGGGTAGGGGGATTAGAGGTCCTGACCCCCCCAGTCAAAAAATCTACATATGACTTTTGACTCCCCCCAAACTTAAGTTTGTGTCTCAGCAGCCGCCGTGGACTGGTTCCAGGCGCCCTGTCGCTACTCCAACCCCAGACGCTCGGGTCCCCTATGTAATCCGGCCGAGCTCAGTGCGCACAGCAGGCCCTCCACCCCGCGGCCCCCAACCAGATCGAAACAGTGCAGGTATTTATTGGAAAAACAAATCCACATATAAGTGAATCTTCACAGTTCAAACTCATGTGGTTCAAGGGTCAACTGTTAATACTTGCTTTTTCTTGCCCAGTAGCATTGGATCGCATGAGTAATTGTACTAGGTTGTTCAAGGGACCTCTGGATTTTGGCAATTGTATAGACAGCAGCTATAAACGTTGTGAACTGCTTTTTGGGTGAACAGTTTTCATGTCTCTTGGATAAATTCCTAGGAGTGGAGTTCCTGAGCTGTGTGGTAAGTATGTAAAGTGTGTACTTTAGGTTGATATGACTGCCTAGCTATTCTCTTTGATTCGAGAGAGAGAGAGAGAGAGAGAGAGAGAGAGAGAGAAAGGAACCTCGCTTTGTTGTTACACTTATTTACACACTCATTGGCTGACTCTTGTATATGCCCTGACTGGGGATTGAACCAGCAACCTTGGTGTCTGTGGAGGATGCTCTAATCAACTGAGCTACCCAGCCAGGGCCGTGCCTAGCCATTTTCAAGAGTGACTAGACCATGCTTCATCGCCTCCAGAAATGCATGGGCTCTGTCCAGCTGCGGCACATCCCTGTCAGCGCATCCCCGTCAGCATGTGGTGTTGCTTTTGTTTGTCACCATCCTGGTAGGCATGGGCAGTGGCATCTTGTGGTGGTTGCCCAGGGTATTGAGGGACAAACAGACATTTCTACGCAGTGCAATTTATCCTGTTTGTTTTTGGTTTATTTCTGAGTGGCTAGTGCTTTTAGTCAAATTCTTAAAAACATCTGATTCAATATCCCTGACAATTTTATCGCTAAAAAATGTCCTCTGGAGTGACAGCAGCGTTTGTTCTCAGTCTCCCCCTACCCAGAGTTCCTGGGACGGGGGGAGGGTGTACTGCAGTCACAGCGCGCGCACACACACACACACACACACACACACACACTCACACGCACGCTACAGCCACCAATAACCTGCAAAGGAGCTAGCACATGTCAGAACATCCTTCCTATCAAAAAGGGCAGGGTTCCACACGGTGACCTGTGCCCTGTGCCCTGAAACGGGAGGCCGGCAGGCTTCCAGGATGAGGTATAGAGGGTACTACTTCTCCATCTTTCTGTTTCTCCATCTAGCCCGGAGTCGGGGCAAGGGATTTGGGGACACTCACACCCACATACACATATATCCCAGCAGTGAAGCCTCCAAGATCTGGGGCTGGGGAGGGAGTCTGGGGCCCGTGGCTCCCTGGAGTGTGTGGGCAGGGCCCCCAGAGCCCCGGGTTTGTCTGTTTAGCTCTCCCTTGTGATCCTAATGTCCAAAGTGAAGATCCTCCTGGCGCTTACATTACTGATTCCTTCTCGAAGGTGTCAGCTTTCACAGCAGCTCCTGGGCAGCGTCTGAGGAGGGGGTTCCCCTCCTCAGCGGGGACTGGCCGCGGGTCCATGGGCGTCTCGCTCTTCACGTGGATCAACTCAGGCACTGAGCTCTTAGACTCTGTCCGATCTACATAATGTTGGAGGAGTCCCGCCCCGAAGGCGTCACCTTCCACATTGATGATGGTACAGGACCGGTCCCTGTAGCGGGGGAGGTGATGGGGAAATGAATAGGAGGGGAGGGGTCAAGGCCCACCCCACCCCCTTGCCCCTGGAGTCAGGAGCCCCATCACTCCCTCCTGCACAGAACCCTGTTCTACAACCCAGAAGGTCGCCCCTCCATCCTCCCAGGATGCCAATATCCCTTCCTCCTAGAGCCTCAAAGGTCTCTTCATCTGGAACCCCAGGGGCCCCTACCTCCCTTTTTTCCCCTGGAACCTGGACACGTCCCACCATATTTCCTCTGCCTTTGAGCCCCACAGATTTCCTTCTCCCCCTGCTCTGGACTCCAGTGATCCTTCCCCCAACATAACACAAGACTTGTCCCTTTTGGAACCTCACCCCGTCCTTTTCTTGGGGCCCCAGAAGACCGTCCAACGCTCCTCCTCCCCCTGAAACCCTGAGGTCTCCTCAGGCCTTTCTCCTCCCTAGACTCCTAAGGGTCTTCTTTCCGCTTTAAGCTTTCTGTGTACGTGAGTGTGTAGATGTGACATTTTAGAAAATGAAGCGACAATTCACACACCACAAAATTCGCCCTTTAAAAGCATACAATCCAGTGGTTTTTAGTATAGTCAGAGTTGTGCAACCATCAGCACTAGTTAATTCCAGAACATTCTTATCGTTCCAAAAGGAGAGCCCCACACCCATTGAGCGGCTATCCCCCATGAACCCCCAGCCCCCAGCCCCAGGCAGCCATGAACCTATATAGATTTGCCTGCTCTGGGCATTTCATAGAAATGGCATCACACAGTACAGTGTCCTCTGTGTCTGGCTTCTTCACGCAGCATCAGGTCTTCAAGGTGCATCCCCGTGGTAACATATCTCTATCAGCGCTTCACTCTAGAGTCCATTGTATGGACAGGTGACATTCTGTTTACCTACTCATCAGCTGATGGACACTCGGGATATTTCTACCTGTCCACTATTATGAATAGTGATTAATAGAATAATATCCTATGAACATCTGTGTACCAGTTTTCATGGATACGTTTTCAGTTCTCTTGGGTATAAACCTAGGAGTGATATTGCTAAGACATACGGTAACTCTATATTTCACTTGAAACCAATCTGTTTCCAATCTTTCATGCTCATAATAACTTAATCGTGATAACTAACAGTTATGTATACAGCATGTACTACTTAGTAGAGGCTTCTCTAAGGGAGTTGCATGTACTAAGTCATCTAATGTCAAGGAAACACTACTCTCTCTGTTTTACAGATGGAGACACTGAGACAGAGAGGAAATACTTGCCCAAGGGCACACTAGCTAGCAATGGTGCCCTGGGGTTTGGACACCAGCAGCCTGCCTGCTGTGACCCACTGTGGCACACGACCTTTCTAGGGTTCTTCTTAGAAGCCCCAAGATCCCTCCCTTCCCGTCCCCTGGAACGCTCGGGGTCCCATCCCACCGCCTCCCCGCCTCCCTGCCTCCCTCTCCTCCTCGGCCCAGGGACGCTCAGTGGCCCTCTGGATCATCGCTGTTCCCGGGAGTGCCCCCGAAGCCACCTCCCCCTGAAGCCCCAAACCCACACTCACACTAGCCAGTCCACGGCCAGGATCAAGGAGATGTCAACCGGCAGGTTGACGGCCTCGAGAATGATGGCCAGCGTGAGGACACCTCCAGCAGGGATGCCCGCGGCGCCGATGCTGGAGGCCGTGGCCGTGACCCTGGCGGAGGAGAAGGGCGACCAGGGAAGGCCTCGGCGTGGGAGAAGCTACAACACGGCCCTGTTCCCCCACCCCCGCCTGTGTCCGTTCTCAGGGGAAGGGTCAGCTGGGTCAGGGGTCCTAGCCACAGCCAGCCCGCACTCACAGGATCGTGATAATCTTCACGAAGTCCAAGGATTCCCTGTAGAGCTGTGCAAGGAACACCGCAGCCACACACTGGAAGAGGGCAGCACCATCCATGTTGACAGTGGCACCGATGGGCAGGATGAAGCGGCTGATGTGCTTAGAGATGCCGTTCTTTTCTTCCACGCACTTCATCATCAGCGGTAATGTAGCAGAGCTGCCAGGGACCACAGACCTGAGTGAGCTCACCCAGCCTGCCCAGGCCCGGCCCCACCCTCCCACCAGCCAAGCCACGCCCACACCCCTGCCCACACAGCCCCGCCTTCCTGGCAGGAGCACCAGCTCGGACCACACCATCTCCCCCACCACCACCACCACCACTGGTCCGCAGGCCTCCACCCACAGCCCTCCCAGTAATCCATGCCCTTCTCTCCCCCGAGCCAGAAGGTACGAGGGATCCAGCAGACTGCAATCATTCCAATACTTAGGCTCCTGGACAGCCTGCTACTCAAAACACACACAAAAATTCATACCTAAATTCTATAATGTCTGAGAGCTCACCGACCCACACCTCCTGCTATCTCCACCAGTAATAGACCCCAGCTAAACTCTTGGGGGTGCTGCCCCAGGGCGGGTCCCGTCCTGAGGGAACAGGGTCAGCAGAGATGGGTAAAATACCCAGAAAGGAGGTGGAAGGAGCTCCCAGAGGTTGGATCCCGTGTGGAACACGAGTCCCCGGGGCCAGGCCTTGGCGGGGAGGAAGCAATCTCCAAGGCAGTAGTTTCCCTAATTTTAGGGAGGACTGGATGATGGATGGTGGGTAGATCCAGGACCTTATGAGAAACTTGGGAGAGTATGACCCCTGTACCCAGATCCAATGTCCCCAAAGTTCAGGGGTCTTCAGACGTGGGATGCCCACGCCAGGTCCCTTATAATTTAAAAACCCCACCCTGGTCTGCCCCCAGGTCATACCTGGAGGAGGTCCCGAAGGCGGTGACCAGTGCTGTCAAGATGCCCCAGAGGAAGCGGTAGGGGTTCTTGCGAGTGATGAGGAAGTAGATGAGGGGCAGCACCAGGAGCCCGTGGATGGCGTGGCCCAGCAGACAGCACAGGATGTATTTGCCGAGACTGGCGAAGAGGGTCCCCACGTTCTCCATCTCCATGATCTTGCCAGCCACCAGGAACAAGATACCCAAAGGGGCATACCTAATTACCCAGGAGACAGATGGCAGCCGCTGGCCACGTGCTCACCCAGGGCCAGGCGGTAAGGTCTGCACACAGCCCGACCACAGCTTCCTGCGAAATCAGGAGGCGCCCAGGGCAATGGGTGCAGAAATCTGGCACCTCTTCTGCCCTCCTGCTGCTCTCTCCCCTTGCAGATAGTAGAGCCAGAGATAAAAGAAGCCTGGGTGCTTCCAGCGCCCCTTGGAGTAGAGTCACCAACCAGATTTGGACTTAACACAGGACTGAGGAAGACACATGCACCACGCATGGGTCACTTGCATTTTCTGGGCTCTTTTGTTATAGCAGATGACTTAAAGCAATGTATCCTCTCACCACATCAGGAAAAATAAAGAGACATGGCTCAGGTCTTAATAATAGCTCTGAGGCATGACGCATTTATGATGTCCTGAGCCCTGACTGGTGTGGCTCAGTGGGCTGAACACCGGCCTGTGAACCAAAAGGTCACAGTTCAATTCCCAGTCAGGGCATGTGCCGGGGTTGTGGACCAGGCCCCAGCTGGGCATGTGCAAGAGGCAGCAGATGGATGTCTCTTTCTCCCATGGGCGTTTCCTTCCCTTTCTCCCCTTCCCTTCCCCTTTCTCTAAAAATAAATAAAATCCTTTTAAAATTATTTTTAATAAAGGTTTTTTAAATAATACATTCTTTTTTAAAAAAGATTTTATTTATTTATTTTTAGAGAGGGGGGAAGGGAGAAAGAGAGGGAGAGAAACATCAATGTGTGGTTGCCTCTCACAAGCCCCCGACTGGGGAACCAGCCCACAACCCTGGCACATGCCCTGACTGGGAATCAAACTGGCAACCCTTTGGTTTGCAGGCCAGCACTCGGTCCACTGAGCCACGCCAGCCAGGGCTAAAGGTGGTTTGTTGTTTACTGGTTTGTTTGTTTTTTAAAGATTGTATTTATTTTTAGAGAAAAGGGAAGGGAGGGAGGAGGGAAGGAAACATCAATGTGTGGTTGCCTCTTGCACGCCTTCTGCTGGGGGCCTGGCCCACAACCCAGGCCTGTGCCCTGACTGGGAATCGAACCAGCAACCCTTTGGTTCACAGACTGGTGCTCAATCCACTGAGCCACAGCAGCCAGGCCTTAAAAATACTTCAAAATTAAAAAAATATATATATGATGTGCTGAGCCCCTGAGGGGGATTGAATCTTCATCACAAGGGAGCTCCTATTTCCAGTCTCTTACAGCTACTGGCCCGAGCACCAGCTTAGGGGTGCTGCCCCAGGGCGGGTCCCGTCCTGAGGGAACAGGGTCAGCAGACATGGGTAAAATACCCAGAAAGGAGGTGGAAGGAGCTCCCACCTCTGCGATGTGTTACATTTTGAATTACATTTTGAATTAACAAAATGTAATAGGTCTGTAAAGCAGGGGCCATTAATGCTCCCAACCTCCTAAGGATGTTGGGAGGAAGAAATGAGATGCCAACTGACATGAGGTGAAAGCTTTTTTAATAATTCATCTATAAACTTTAGCACCCTCTCCTGGAGCGATGACCCCAGGGTGTTTCTGCCTCCCAGCCAGGAGGCCACCCAAGACTGCATCTGCAACTGCTTGACCATTGTGACCTATTGTCGCAGAAACCCCTTTCCTGTTTAGTAGGAAAGGCAACATTTCCTGGCCCCCTGTGCCCCTGAGTTTGCCCAAATGACCATGTCCTGGCCAGTGGGATATACTAAAATAAATATTAGCTAATACTTTTTTCTGTAAGCCTGCTATAGGTCAGGCACTCTCCCAAACACTTTACACGTGTTACCTCATTTGTTCCTGGTCTGATCAACCCCATTTTCCAGATAGGGAAACTGAGGCACAGAGGGATTAAGTAACTTGTCATAGGGCAAAGCTAGGAAGTGGCTGTGCCGGGATGGGAACCCACGTCACCCAACTGCCAAGCCTGCTCTTACCCATGTATCACCTGCCCCTCCAGCAAAGCATGTTCATTAGTCAAGATGGACCTGATTCCACCCTGACCGAGGTGACTCGGTTGGAGTGTCATCCCGCAGGGCAAAAGGCCATGCGTTTGATCCCTGGTCAGGGCACGACATGCCTGCGTTGCCGGTTTGGTCCCTGGTTGGGGCACGTATGAAGCAACGGATGGATGTTTCTCTTTCACATGGGTGTTCCTCTCCCTCTCTTTCTCTCTCCCATCCCCTCCTCTAAAAATACATAAATAAAATCTTTAGTGCTCGCTTCGGCAGCACATGTACTAAAATTGGAACAATACAGAGAAGATGAGCATGACTCGTGCACAAGGATGACATGCAAATTGGTGAAGCGTTCCACATTTTAAAAATATAAAAATAAAAAATAAAATTTTTTTAAAAAATGCATCTGATTCCTACACAGCAGCTTCTTAGCTGCAGGCTGCACTGGAACCAGGATGGGTGAGGGTGTTGGGGTTTGTGAAAGAGGTAGCAACCCTGGCCCCACTCCTGATTTCTGACCTTCTAGATCCAGGGTGGGGCCTGAGAATCAATGTGAGACTGGACAGGGGACAAGCTTGGAAGCCAGAGGCCTCTGCACGTGTTTTTTCTCATTAACTAAGGTCACTTCACCATGTTCATAATGGCAATAGTCTTAGCTGATATTAAGTGAACTAAGCTCGGAAGATGCCAGGCGTTTAAAGCACTTTTTAAGTGTTTTCTTTACTTATTACCCCAGTTCGTTCTTTCATCTTCATGATAACCCTGTAAAGCAGGTACAATTTTAGATCATTGATCCAAAGGCGAACGTCTGGTTACTTTCGAATCTCTAAAACTGCGATGTGTTAGCAGGCTGTGGCTGCAGCCTGGCTCTTTTTGTCGCCTTCCAGTAAGATCAGGAAGGTACCAAAAAAAAAAGGTGCGAGCATCAGTCTAAGCTTCCATGGAATGCAGCACTGTCCTCATTTTAGAGATGAGGAAATGAGGCACAGAGAGGGCGAGTCACTTGCCCAAAGTCACACAGCCAGGGAACGGTCGATGCTGGATTTGAATCCAGGCCATATGGCTCTAAGAAGCAGATGAACGGTCGCCCCCTCCCACATCCCCAGAACCTCCCCCCGCCTCCCACCTACCACATGATCCAGGAGACCAGCACCATGGTGGCATCGTTGAAGGAGTTGAAGAAGCGGATGAGCGGCTCTCCCTCTGGCCCCAGCTTCCGCAGGGCCAAGCCAAAGACGATGGCAAACACCACCAGGCCCAGGATGTTCATGCTCTCCACCTCACCCTCCACAGGCACCTTTGGGCAAGGCACAGGTAGGGACAGCAGGGCGGTTGGTGCTCAGTCAGTGTGCAGTCACTGAGGACCTATCCTGGGCAGCGTTGTGGCAAATCAACTCAGGCCCCTCCCTCCCAAGGCTCACTGTCCAAGTCCAGGGGAAATAGACCTATGGCTAGGGACCACCCAGGGTGAGCAGGGGTGAAATTGGAGTGGGAGGGTTGAAGAGGAGTGTAGGAACCGAGGAGGGGGTGCCAGCTCAGGGGTGTGAGTAATCAGGTAGGGCTTCCTGGAGGAAGGGGCTGAGATCTGGAGAACAGGAAGGGTAAATGAAGTAAGTGGGGTGGTAGAAGGTTCTAGAGAGAGGAAGTAATTTGCAGTAGCCTAGAACTGAGAGCAATGTAGGCATTCCAAGAGCAGAAAGAAATCCACTGTGGCTGAGGGGGTGGAGGATGAGCGGGGCGGAATCGCAAGATGAGACTGGGAGGCAGTGAGGTGGGGGTCCAACCATGCAGGGTCCTGTGGGCTGTGGCAAGGAGCCGGGCTTCCTTCTGAGGACACACACTACGGGGCACGTCGGGGCTTCGAGCAGGGTCGAAGCAGGGTCATGTTTGTGCTTTGGAAAGACCGCTCCCGCTGCCAGGCCTGGGGCAGGTCAGCGGGGAAGCCAGGTCGACGTAGGGTAGGGGGCCAAGAGGAGCCTGGACCAGAGTGGGCAGCAGGGAGGGAGAAGAGGGGTCAACATGGAGATTCGAGAAGGGCAAAAGAGACAGAAATTGGGCAGGGGCCGCACCGAGTTTCAAACAAGTTGCACACCACACGTCAGAAGGCCCAGTGGGCAAACAGAGGCTGGGGCGGGAACAAAGCGGAACGACCACAACAGTGGGCCAAGAAGTGGGGTCCCCCCTCCATCTCCCGCTCTCACCATCACCCAGGTTCCGTTGAGAAGCTCCATCTCCTTGTAGATGGTAGTGTACTGCAAGCGGGGTTAGGAAGAGTCTGTGTCAGTAGGCCCACCCCAGACAGGCACGCACAGTGCTCAAAGGCCGCCCTGAACGCGCCGGTACACATAATCCCAATTCACCCCACCACCAACCCCACTATGACAGGGCTATTCACCCCTTGTTTTCCAGAGGCAGAAATCGAGGTTCAGAGAGGTAAAGGCAGTTGCTCAGCATCACCCAGCTAGAACTAGAAGCCTGCAGTGACTGGGAACCCATATTCTCAGTTGTGGGTGAGGTGGGATGGGTTTCAGAGGTTACCCAACAACCCTGCAATGCCGCCTGTAACTATGTGGACAGTTGTGTCCAAAATCAGGCACCAAGGGGCTGCCACTGGCCGTCTTGCCCTCTGCCCACCCCCCACCCCTGGGGATACCCCTGAGGACTCACTGAGCGGAAGGTTGCAGACACCAGGTTGGAGGGGAAGATATTTCTGCAGAGACAGATATGGAGGGTGGTTGTTAGGCACCACAGGTAAAGATCAGGGGGTGTCTCTGATGTGGGTTGGTATCCTGGGGTGGGGGGAACCTTGGAGGCCCCATCTGCACCCAAATATGGCCCCCACCCGTGCCTCAGCCAGGTTTGGTCAGGCAGAGTTGGACTGGCCTGCACACATTTTCGGGGTGTGAGGAGTCTGAGCTGGTCTCCTAGGGCCTCAGTGGGTTGGCGTCCTGGCCCCAAAGGATTGAAAAGATTGCAGATGAGCCCTGGCTGGGGTGGTTTAGTGGATTGAGTGTTGGCCTGCAAACAGAAGGGTCGTCAGTTCGATTCCCGGTCAGGGCACATGACTGGGTTGCGGGATGGGCCCCTGATTGGGGGCGTGCAAGAGGCAGCCATACACCGATGTTTCTCTCCCTCTCTTTCTCCTTCACTTCCCCTCTTTCTCTTAAAAATAAATAAAATCTTTAGAGAAAAGAAAAGAAAAGATTGCAGATGAGGATGAGTACTGCCAGCTTCCCAAGGCAGGCTGGGGCAGGGTCACCTGGGCCCTCAGCTCCACCCCTAGAAACAAACTTCACACACAGGACTTCTTGCATCAGCCACTTCCTCTTAGTGGGTGGGGAAGGGAGGGCTGAGTAAAGAAAGGGCATGCTGGCCCTGGGGGCTGGCTGGTGGGCGGGGAAGATGTGGGTGTTGGGAAGAGGTGGGGAAGGAGGGAGACGAGAGACAGCTGTGTGCGTCCTGAATGCGCATCTGTGTTTACATGGCTACTTTTGTGATAGTGTCCAAGTGGGACTCAGTGGGCAGCAGTGTGAGGGAAACCCACAGAGTGTATTGGGGAGCCAGACATCGACCTTCTGTCTCAGGGTGAGACGAAAATACGGAACGTAGCTATGGGCGCTGTCATAAGCGCTTTACATCAACTCACAACAGCCCTCGGGGACTTTACAGAAAAGGAAACTTTCTGTAAAGTGAGGCACAAAAAGATGAAGAAACTTGCCTGGCTAAGAAGTGGCAGGGCTGGGATTTGAACCTACCAACCTGGCTGTACGGTTCTAACATCCTTCTCCCCAGTGACAAGGGTGTGAGGCTGTTGCTGTAGGTCTATATCCAGTTTGTCACGTGTTGCTATCTGGTTGGAGTGAGGGTTAGTGTTCAGACATGTGAGATACTGTTGCTGTGTGTCATGTATGTTTGCTGTGAGTATGTATGTTTGGGCTAAAGGGGTGTTAGGATCCAGTGGGTTTGCGTGTGTCACAGTTGGTGCCAGCCCATTGGCCAGTGTGCAATGCCACAGCCGTGGCTGAGTGTCTGTGCCTGTCAGTTGGTTATAAAGTTTGTGTGGCTTGAGATGCTTCAGCTAAGTCAGGGAGTGGCCGGCCGGCCCCGTGTGAATTCCATCGGCGTTGGCACCTTGAGGGAAGCCCGCACAAACATAAACAGCCTGCGGCAGGTTAGCCTGTGCCCGCCCAGGCCAGCCAGGGCTGGGCTGGGACGCAGCTCATCTGACCCAGCTAATCTTCCCCCGCCAGAAGGTGCCCACCCACTGCAACTTCTGGGTGGTTTCCCATTTCAGGCAGCACTGAGGCCCCAAGATGCTGGGGGAAACCAGTTCCGTGACTCATCATTTCCCTCCACTTCTAGGAAGTCCCCAACCAACGCTACAACACTGAATCAGCCGGCCCCAAAGGCAAGGCCACGTGGATCCAACAGTCTGTCCTCCTTAAAAGAGGGGAGAGCCTTTCTTGGGGGCAGGGGGATGGGAAGCAGAGGCCAGAAGGAAAAGAATCTGCCCCCTTTCTAGGCAGCCTGGTCGGGGCGGAGCACGGAGGGAGGAAATGGAACGAAACTGGCTGAAACTGAGAGGACTTAACAGGAACACCTGCGGGGAAGCACCAGGGCCCCACTGAAGTGGGAGGGAGGGAGGCTGAGAAAACCCAGGCAGCCCACGGCATGCGGCGTCCTGGGACTTGGAAGAGGGCCTGGTGGGGTTCACTCGGCTCGCAAACCCGCCTTCCAGGCCCTAGACTCAAACCTTTAACTGAAGCCCCACCCTGGGGCCCTGGGCCACCAAAAGATCCCCCTGGGAAACCTTGGGGTCCCCTCCCCTGACAGGAGAGTCCCTGTGAGGGAACCCCACGAACATTCCTTTCTCCTCACTCTGTAAGACTTCCTTGCTTATCACCCTTATGCAGGGCCCCCTGACGTCCCCAGGCCCCACACTTAGAAGCCTCCTTCCCCAGAGTCTATCCTCACCCTCTGAACCCTGACCCTTGGGGGACCAGAGCTGCTCTCACCATCCCCTAGGGCGTGTCCAACCTTTTGGCGTCTCTGGGCTGTAAGTACTGGGAGAAGAAATGTCTTGGGCCACACATAAATACACAAACACTAACGAAAACTGACAAGCGAGAAAAAGGCTTTAAGTAAATCTAAGATTTTGTGTTGGGCCGCCCGCATTGCCGTCCAGGGCCGCGCGGGTTGGACAGCCCTGCAAGAGTCTTCCTGCGGCCCTGGGGATGTCCTGGTTCTGGAGGACCCAAATTCCCCGCTTCCTGTCCACGTGGCCACTCCCGCCATTCCTGGCACCATTCCCCACCCCGAGTGGCTGAAGTACGCTCTTCTCCCACTTCCCTCCACCGGCGAGCAGGAGGACTGACCTCACAAGATCCAGGAAAGAATCCAGCACCTCCTTGTTGGGGACGTTTTCCTTCGGGCCGGTGACACTGACCGAGGCCTCGATGGCGGCGCCGGGCTGCAAAGCCAGCGCCAAGCCCACGCCGATCGCGGACGCTATCAGTGTGGTGACCAGGAAAAAGAGCATCGCCCAGGCGCCCAGGCGGCCGAGAGCGCTCGGGTCCAGGCTGGCGGCGCCGCCAATCAGGCTGCACACCACCAGCGGCAAGATGATCATCCGCAGCATGCGCAGCAGCAGCTCACCGGGGAAGGCAAAGGCCGCCATACGCGCGTGGCCCAGCGCTTTCGCCCCGCCGGCTCCAGACATCCCCAGGCCCAACGCCACTCCCGCCACGACGGCCGCCACCGTCAGCAGCACCAACAGGTTGGCGCAAAGGCAGCGGCGCACCTTTTGCGGGGAGTTGCACGAGCTGCGTCCTGCCGCGCCTGGGTCCTCGGTGGGGACCAGTGCCGGGACACCGTGAGCAGTGTGCTCCGCCGCCCCCGGCCACTTGGAGTCTCCCTTAGGGGGATCGGCCACCATGATGAACGCCCCGGGGTTCCTTAGAGCCTGGAAGCTGGAAGCGCTTGGGGCTCCTTCCTAGGACGTTGCCTAGAACTGAGAGTTGAGTAACAGCCTGGAAGTTGGAACTCTGAGGGTTCCTTGCTCTTGAAAGCGGGAGTGTCTGAGATCCGTAAGCTGGGCGCCGGGGCTCCTCTGCTCTTCCAGGTTGTGTCCGGCGCCCGAAAGCTGAGAGTTCGGAGCCCCTGGGTTTCTTGGCCCCGGGAGTGGGAACACAGGAGTTTTCTCAAGCTGGGACCTGGGGTTCCTGGCTCCGGAAGGCTGATGTCGCCCACGCGGCCGCGGTCTGCAAGAGGCGAGGTCCTGGTGGGGCAGATCCCGGACGCCTGGATCCGGGAGGCTGGGAACTGGAGTAGGCGCCTGGGTCCTGGGAACGGAGAACTCGGGAGCCTGAGTCTGGGGGCCGGAAACGGAGCTCCAGGAAGAAGGGAACCAGGTTCTTGGGTCCGAGAGGGGAGGTCCAGACCACCGGGCGCGGAAGGCGTAGGTCCGGGACCCCAGGACGTAACAGCTGTCAGCCCAGAGGTATCTTCCCCTGCGCGCAGAGTGACTCTTAAGCACGCTGGCGGGAGCTGCCGGGGTGGAGCCCGCAGCGAGGCGTAACGAGACGACGGAGGGCGCCGATTGGCGGCAGTGCAATCAAGGTCTCTCTCGGGAGAACTAGCCCGGGGCACGGTTCAGCCCAGTCTCCTAACAAGGCCGAGTAACTTTGCGTCTTCCAGGGGTGGGGCCTGGGTATGGACGGGGTCTGAAGAGGCGTGGCGTTGGGCGAACGCTTTTTCCCGCCGAAGAAAGTGGGCTGCGGGTTGGGGCAGCTAAGCCTCCGCAGTTCCCAGGGGCGGGCGAGGGTCTCTAAAAAGTACCGGTGAGGCCCTGGCCGGGTAGTTCATTCAGTTAGGACATTGTCCCGCTATGCCAAGGTTGCGGGTTCAATCTCCGGTCAGGACACATACAAGAATCAATGAATGCATAAAAAAAGGAATAACAAATCGGTGTTTCTCTCGCCCTCTCTTCCTCTCTCGTTCTAAAACCAATAAATTGAAAAAATTAAGTGCAAGTGATCCGTTTGTGGCTCATTTGTAAAGCAACTCTGCCTGAAACAACTTCTTCGTCCAAAATTCTGCCTTTTTAAACATTTTTTATTTATGGATTTTAGAGAGAGAGCAAGAGAAAAACATCAGTTCCATGTATTCATTGGTTGATTCTTATAAGTGCCTTGACCCCGGGGATTGAACTCACATCTTTGGCATGTCGGGACAATACTCTAACCAGCTGAGCTACCCCGCTATAAACACTGTCTTTTGTCGCCTCTCTGAACTTCAATTCCTCGAATGTAAAATTCAGATCCCTCACACAAGTGGTGTAAGATTTAAATAAGATGGAGTTATTTATTTAATAACGTGAATAATTTTACAAATGTTCCAAGTTCAGAGCCCCGCAGTTATCAATTAATGACAGTTATATATTAGGATTGTAATCGATTTTCTCCTAGGTACATAATTTGCAGTTCATCCATTAAAAGTTATATTTCAATTTCATGACTGTGCATGCTAATGCTTTCACGAATGTTTTCACCAAATATTCCCCCCCCATATTTTATTATGAAAATTTTCAAAATTACAAAAGCTTAAAGGATTTTGCAGTGAACCCCATATGCCCAGCACCCAGGGCCTACAATATTTTACCATACTTCTATATCATATTTCTAACCATTTATCTCTCTCTAACCATTCATCCATTCACCTTCCTTTTCATTTTTTAAACTTGACAAAGTGAGTTGTGGATATCAGTGCACTTTCCCTCTAAACCCCTCAGTGTGCATTTCTCAGCTAGAGTTTAATATTTCCTTGCAGTCCTTTTTTTTCTTTTTAGGTAAAATTTATATACAACAAGATGTACAAGTCTTAAGGCATTCACTGCTTTTCAGAAAATGCACATGTGTGACTTCCCCGGGATCTTCATAACTCATTGGTGAGGTTGGTCCTACTTACACCCATTCTCCAGATGGGCAAGACTGGCTGGGGTTTGTGGCCAGAGGAAGTCACTCGCTTTGAGGCCACACATGAGGAGGCTGGGAGCTGAATGCCGCCCCCGCCCCCAAGGCCCTAATGATATCTGCTCTGCCGCATCCCTAAATCCTTCCTGGTGGTTATTTGGGTCATTTCCAGAGAACCTGTTACCTGTAGATAGTTAGTGGAGCAGTGCGAGTCTCCCCATTGGCCAAGATGGAGGCTGGGGGAGGTTCTTACACTGCAAATTCCCGAAGCTAGAAAGATGAATGGATAGGCCCCTCTGTGCTCCAAAAGCTAGCAAGATAGTTGGAGAGGAAAAAAGCCCTGCCGTCCCTATCCTGATAAGAACTGCAGGCTTGAGCGGGAAGGGGGATGGTCTTTGAGATGGGAGTCCACCCTTTATCCAGGTCCTGGGGCACCTGAATAAATCTCTTCCCTTTTGCAACAGTACCTGCCTCACAAGTTTGGCTTTCATTGTGGCAGGCCACCAAACCTGCCATGGCTCCCTGCTCCTCCAGGCCGCGCTGAAATCCTGACTCCTTCCCCACCCGTCCCATCCTCTGGTAACATTTCAGGGTTTCACACTTGCTCAAAGCCTATCGGTAGCTAGAACCTCAAAGCTTCCTCCCATAGCAGATGTGGGGCTACAGGAGGAAGTCAAAACCTCTATGAGCCTCAGTCTCCATATCTGTGCAATGGGAAGAACAATAATAGAGGATACCTCCTTGGGTGTTATGAGGATCAAATGCGATGTTCAAAACATTTAGACAGGGCACAGGTTAAATCTTAATAAAGTTGCCTTACACTACTATTGTTGTCATTATTTTTTAATTTATTTATTTTTAGAGAAGAGGGAAGGGGAGGGAGGGAGAAAGAGAAAGAGAGAAACATTGATGTGAGAGAGAAACATCGATTTGCCTCTGGTACGAGACCGGGGACTGAACCCACAACTTAGGCATGCGCCCTGACTGGAAATCAAACAGGTGACATTTGCTTTGCGGGATGACGCAAATGGAGCCACACCAGTCACGGCTATTGTCATTATTCTTGAAAAACATGGTTTGGACCAAGACTGGCTCCATACGCTGCTGGGCCCTGGTGGTAGGCTCTCCCTGCTGGTCCCTAGACTTAGACCTGCTTGGGAAGAATCTTCGAGAGCCTGTGGTGACATCCTGCAGGATGTGAAGCAATGGGGCCAGGCCGAGCTGAGGATTTACCCAGGGTCCCAAGGACCCACCGCTCAGGCACATGTGGCCTTGTGGGCCTCCTTCCTGTGTCTCTCGGACGCACTCCCCTCCCAAATCCTTCCAGCCTCAACACCACGTACTTCCCTGTCTCCCATTCCACCCTTCCAGTCTAACATCGTATTCATTCAACAAACTTGCATTAAATGCCAGTGAGCTCGGTTCTGAGCTAGACGCTGACAGTGTGGGCCCTAAACCTATGCAGCCATGGTTGCGAATCCTGGCAGCAGTCTCCTCATTTGTCCTAGAGTCAACATGAGCATAAATTCGATCGTGCACACAGAGACCCTCCATACAAAACACAAGGGGACAATTCCCGGGCACTCTATTCATTCGACAAATAGTCCTTGAGCCCTTACTAAGAGCCAAGTGCAGTTCAAGGTGTTGAGGATTCGGCAGCAAGAAAGAAATTAGAAATTAAAAACAGGCAAAGCTTTTTGCCACTTTCTAGTGAGGAGAGACAAGGAAATCAACTTGGATGTCAGGTGGGGAGGGAGCTGAAGACGCTAAAGCATTGAAGGCAGAGAAGGGAGTGGTCACCATGGGCGAGGTGCAATGACACCTGAGGGACAAGAAGGAGCCCACCAGGACAATATGGAAGAACAAGCTGGAGGAAGAGAAGAGCAGGCGCAAAGCCCAGAGGCAGCAACAGGACAGCCCTCATCATGTCCCCAGTAATCCTTCCGAAGTCACTCTCCGGGTTCACTAATTTAGATGCAAATAGATTAATGAGGCTCCTTGTGGCCCAAACCCCCTCTCTGGGCAGGGCATTTGAACTCAGGTATCTCTGACCCCGGCCTGTGCCCTCAGCCCCTAGAGGACACCCTAGGGGCTGATACCCCTGCCCCGGGCTGCCCCCCAAGCAGAGACATTCCCTTCAAGGGCCCATCATTTATTCTGAGCACATTGTTGGGCCCTGTGATGCGTGGTACCAAGTATCCAGCGATGAACAAGATAGTCCCTGCCCCGTCCTTGAAAGAATCACAGTCCGGAGGGGGACACAGACCCATCTCCAGACATTGATGATGCAAGCGTGGGATGGGGCAACTCAGAAGGGGTGCTTGACCCAGCAAGGAGATCAGGAAGGGCTCCCTGGAGGAGGAGGCATCACAGATGGGATAGGAAGGAGTTGGCCTAAGCATAGGGGAGGAGAATTCCAGACAAAGGGAACAGTATATGCAAAGCCACAAAGTTAGAAGAGCCCAGAAGTTTCCCAAGCACAAATCTAACCGAGTCACCCCACCCCCACCCCCAGTGGCCCCACTGGGTTCCCTCAGGGTCAAGTCCAAACTCCTCAACCAGGCATCTGTCAATTCAGTAATACATTCCTTCAATAGTTCACCAAACCACATCCACAAAACAGAATGCTGAGAGATGTCAAATAGACTGAGACAGTAATAAATCAGGTGGTCAAGAAATATTAAAGGGAGCCCTGACTGGTGTGGGTCAGTTGGTTGGGTGTTGTCCTGCACAGAGAAAGGTCGCCAGTTCGAATCCCACTCAGGGTGCGTGCCTGGGTTGTGGGTTCAGTCTTTGGTTGGGACATGAATGAGTGGCAACCTATTGATGTTTCTCTCTCACATTGATGTTTCTTTCCCTCTCTTTCTCCCCCACTTCCTCTCTCTCTAAAATAAGTAAATAGCCCTGGCTGGCATGGCTTAGTGGACTGAGTGCCGGCCTGCAAACCAAAGGGTTGCCAGTTTGATTCCCAGTCAGGGCCCATGCCTGGGTTGCAGGCCAGGTCCCCAGCAGGGGGCACGTGAGAGGCAACCACACATTGCTGTTTCTCTCCTTCCCTTCCTCCCTCCTTTCCCTTCTGTCTAAAAATAAAAATAAATAAAATCTTTTTTTTTTTTTTAATGGCCCCTTTCATGCATTGCTTCAGACACAGACTCACAGAGCAGAGCGTCTGCCCAGAAGTGTTCAGGCCCTGAGAACCCCTTGGCAAAGGGAGCCTAAGAACCCCCGGGTGGGGTCCAGACCGGGCCGCTGGGCTCCAGGTGCCAGAGGAGCAGGTGGCCCGCCTGGGTGTGGGGAAAACTTCTGGAAGCTCTGCTAGCAATCAAGGCCAGCCAGGCAACATGCGGGTAGGCCAGGCTTAGCCTAGTGACTCCAAGCACAGGGCCGCCGGACAGGGGGCAAGAGGGAGGGAGAAGGCTGCAGGACTCAGTAACCCCAGGATCCCAGAATCTTCCAGGAGTGTGGGGGTGGGTCCAGGCCAAGAGGGGAAGATCGGAAGGTCTGGTCCAGGATTGGCCAGGGGAGTCCCACCCCCGGCCTCCCCAGGCTCGGAGAGGAAAACATACTGAAACTGGTCTTGGCCAGCTTTCTTTCCACTCAGCAAAACCTCCTACCCAGATACAGATTTC